AGACGTGAAAACTACGCAAATAGAGAAGCAAATAGGTTTGCTTTTCTTATCGCAGTGTGAGCCAGCGTCCCGCCAGACCTCAGGAGCGGAAGAAGTGAGGGGCGACAGAAGTTCGATTTAACCGCCTTGGTCAGGGACCAAAATGCTTTACTACCCGCTGGGTAGGAAGGTAATCTGTTCCCTATGCGGCCAATGTGATTAAATCGAGCTATCCGTAACGCCTTTTTGCATGACTTGGCAGCCCGGTTAAAGGCACTCTTCCTTTGATGTCGCCAGCCTTACGGCGCCTAGCATCGGCCCATGCCAAGTATGCCGCCTGCTTTTGCACCTCGGCACGTCCGCATTCGGCATCGGACCATGGACGAGGTCCACTGAAGGATGCCACGTCCGAGAATGGAATGTAGTATTCCATGCCCTGGCGCAGCACCCCCGTTACGTTTTCCGCACAAGCTGGCGGTCTTCAGAAGAGAAGCAAACAGGCCGCCAAGGATAGGATGCGAAAAAAGATCGCATCCCATCCCAATCTGCTGACTTGTATCGCCACATCCACCGAGGTCCTCTGGGACTCGAATCCGGCGAGGAGAGTGTGGACACAGATTTTACCAGACAGTGGTCAGAGCTACCTACGGGTGATGCGATTGTCACCGAGTAGCGGTCTGGATCAGTTGTCAGCAGAAGGTCTACGCAATTGGCAGTGTGTGTATCGACATCGGGCACCCTTGTGGCCTCCTGGACCAGCTGGGTCAGGCCAAATCAAATCAAATCAAATCAAATCAAATCAAATCAAATCAAAATCATTTATTCATTACATTTTGGGTAAATAATTATGATCACAGTATTATGATAGTACCACCAAAATCTGCCCTCACAGGCGTATGAAATATTGTTAGCTTAGGTCAATAAAGGTTATATAACAAAAAAATAAAATAAAAATGTCATAGTATAATACATTAAAATGTCAGTGCTTAAATAAATAAAAGTTAAACTTATAAATGTCCTACAAATTACCGTCATTCAAGAAGTCGTTTACAGTATAATAACATTTCTTGGATAAAATTGATTTTAATTTATTTTTGAATATACTAATATTGAAATGTTTTATGTCGTTTGGGATTTTATTGTATATTTTTGGCGCCATACATAAAAGACTCTTTCCCATAAGACTCGTTACTGCTGTGTGAAGACACAGTTTATTATTGTTCCGCCGATTTCGCGGCACAATATCACGCAGCCGTTCGAAAAGGTGAGGATTTCTATACACAAACATTGCTACCTCAAGTATATACAGAGACGGAAGTGTAAGGATGCCATGCCTGATAAAGTACGGCTTACAGCTGTCTGTTGGTTGAAGGCCAAATATAGCTCGTACGCATCGTTTTTGTGCCCTAAAAGCAATATCACTATCTGTAGAGTTTCCCCAAAAAACTATTCCATATCGCAATCTAGACGCTGCGAGTCCATGATAGGCGGTAAGCACAGCGTCAGTATTAACTATCGAGGCTATTTTGTAGAGAGCGTAAGCAGTGCTACTTAGTTTTTTGGAGAGGTCAGCTACATGGTTTTTCCAGTTTAGTTTTTTGTCAATAATTAAGCCCAGAAATTTGGCTGAATCTGCTTCCTGTAAGGGGTGACCATCGTAACTAACAACTATGTTTTGGTATTGGGGTCTTTGACTGAAGTGCATAACTTGGGTTTTTTCCAAATTGATTTTTAAATTGTTATTGTCCAACCAGTGGATTATTGCGGATAGACACTTATTTATGTCATTTTGGTACATTTCACTTGCTCTACATTGGATGGAAACTGTACTATCGTCAGCAAACAATGACATTGGATGGTGTGTAAATTTAGGTAGATCGTTAATATATATTATGAATAAAAGGGGGCCTAATACACTTCCCTGCGGAACACCATAGCTGCTACCTCGCGGTTCTGACCTATATTCAACCTCAAACCTGGTTCTTAAGTTCACTCTATTTATTGCGGTCAATTGAGATCTATTAGAAATATACGATTCAATCAATTTTAAAATTGTTCCCCTGATTCCATAAGCTTGTAATTTATTTAAAAGTATGCGATGATCCACATAATCGAATGCCTGTGTCATATCGCAGTAAATAGCGCATACGTTCAAGCGTTCGAGTAAGGTTACGCATTTCCCTTCCAGCATGGTCGGTGTACTAGTATGGGAACAACTATCCTGATGAGCGTTAAAGTCCCCCAGTAACACCAACTGGGCCGAAGGTTAACCCTGCGCAGACGCATCCGTCGCCTCACCAAAGTATTGCGCTAATCTGGCCATCTCCAAATCTTCGCTGTGCTACCGGTTGACACAGGCATAACGAATTTTCTCTGTGTCTACCAGTATATACATAGGGCAGAAAAACTGGGGTCTTCAAGGTTTCGGAGACGCCGGTAATAGACGCCGTCTCGGATGTATACGCATACTCCTGCACGCAGAACAAAATTGTGCTCCAGGGAAAAACCTGGGTAGTTCAGGTAAGATACGTCTGACGGGCATCTAATCTGAGTATCCAAGAGGAACAAGAGTGTAGGTTTCTCGGTCTTGAGGTGGTGATGGACCGCATTGATATTAGAGTGCAGACCTCGAACATTTGAGAGGTGCACTTTGAGGGAGAGGGAGTGCAGCCGCTGTTGAACCCTATTCTTGTCTCTCGATGATTTCATTGTGGAGTGGAAGGTTGCTGAGAGGATGGCAGTAAAATGGTCCTCCACGCTGGCGACCTCTTGACGCGCACCGCAATTAGCTACACCATTAGGACGCCAGTCTAGAGACTACGGGGACGCCCGATGGATATCCGTGGGGGGCCACGGATATCCATCGGGCCCTCTCTTCCAGTCGCCAACCAGCACAATGGCGTACCCATGGGATTTACCGCTAGATGGCGGGGCAGCCTTTCACTTGTGGCTAGCACGCTAGTTGGGCTCCCAACTATCTGTTGGCCAGCAGTGCACCGTGCCTCGGATCCCGCTACCGTCCGCGACTGGACACCCGATGCAGCTACACCAGTGTGAGTCAGACCGATCAGCCTACAGTGGAACAACCATCTCGACCCATCCTCTCGTACGGCGTCACCGAGCATCGTGGCGAAACAAGGCTGGGCCGCTTGGCGTCACGCGTTTGCTAGGTGGGTGGTCATGAAGCCGGCGGCCGAAGCCTACAACCGAAGTGTCACCTGATTAGCACCACCCAGAGGCCACGTGTAGGGATTTAGATTTAAAGGTGCTCTCCTACGGACGAGGGTGACTCAGCCAAAAAGCTCTTTTATTCACCTAACATCGAAAAAGTAGTCTCATCTCAGCAGATTAGAGCAAACTACTCATTACTAACTACGACTACTTAAAGAAGTTGATAACCATGATTACAAATTACATTAAATAATCGTAAAAAGTCGAGCCGGCCCATTCGTGCCGAAGCATGGCTCTCCCGCACTTCTTGAGAAATGAGACTATTTTTTCCATATAAGGTGAATGAGGGAAAAGTTAATATTTTCAACAAAAACAAAACTGTACCTCTATGTATGTAACTGTACTGTATAAACAAGCTAAAATTGACAAGATCATTTCGATGATTTTATCATCATAATCAGCCGTCCACGCCTAAACATAGGCCTCTCCAGTAGCTAGATCAGGAAATATTGAAAAGAGTAACCATACTATAGTTTCTTGCTTTTTCTTCTCAAGTTATTGTTTGTACAATTATAAGTTAATTGTCATGACCAAAACAATAATCAGGAGCCTCCGTTCCAGATGTGCTAAAAATGTTACAATAGTCGCAAACATAATTGTACTTCTTGTACACTAAAATTTTCTATTGGTTCCATCTTATACGGAGATTGTCAGACCAGATGGTATACTTTGCAAAGATGGAGTGACATGGAGTCCTTTCCAACAAAAACTATTATGTGTATTTCGTATAGTAATGTTTGTGTAAGCACAAAGAAATACGGGCACAGCAATTTCTTTGAAATAACTCATGGTCTATTCGCCGCTACCCATAGAATCATATACAATTTATATACGTATGTATGTATTGTATATCTAACTACTATATCCAGATAATATACAAAAACCTTAATGGCGACTTCAGTCTTCAAAAAGACTTCACGTCAACTCGAAGACAGTTCAAATTGATCTGAAAGGTTATCTTCAAACGCTGAAAGATCGTTGATAACAAGTAACAAAGTCTTTCTTTCTCTCTCTCTATTTTCTCTGTTCTGAGAAACAGTATGATGCTATTAGTTTCTTTAACGAAAGGTCACTGATTTAGATCCCTAGTATAAGGAATCCTTGTTGACCTTAAATTGTCCTTCGCAAATCAAGTATAAAATGAGATTTGTGGAGGTTGGGCACTCGGAACTCGTCACACCACTTGATTTTCGATGGGCCTAACCGTTTTCGCACTCAGTAGATGGCGCCACTGGTGAGTTAAGTCCTGTGAGTCTAATTTTTTGCTGTTGATACAGCAGACTCTGGAGCTTAACTTTCTAATGGCGATGTTTACGGTGAGTGGAATGACTGTAGCCCATTTAGTGGTAACTTGTGAGAGCGTGGTACTTCCCCGGTCGAGCCAGCCCCCCTACGCGCTGTACTCTAAGTACAAGTACTCGAGTACAGCATAGCTCTACCACTATTTTTGTGTATTCAATACAAAGTCTTGCGTTCTTTTTCAATATTAATTGTACAGCTCCTCGTAGTTAAAATAAGACATATCGTTGAAAACAAAATACCATAAAATAAAATTCAGTCGTAAAATTTAAGAACAACGTTGTTCCATAGGTCTAAAATGTAACTGCATCTTTTTCTGTGTATTACGTATAAGGTAAATCGTAGTCCACTTTTTGTATCATCAAAATATGTATTTTATTTAAAAAGTCGAAGTCCAAAGGGACGGAAAACCATACACATTTTTATCACAATAAAAGAAATACATGACACAAATAACATATTATTACATGTATTTATAGCGAGTGACTTACTTGTTAGAGTTGGTAGGTTCCTCCCAGTGCGTGTGCATGTGCGCGGGGGACTTGTGGTGCAGCTTGGGCTTGTTGCGGTCCATCGCCGGCAGGGGGCTGCCGCCCGCCCGCTCCGAGCTCGTGGTGGGGCCCGCGCACGGGGGGCCCGCGGGGCCCGCGCCTGGGGCCTCGTGCTCCGTCTTTAGAGATGGTTGGCTTAGGTCTGCGAAGGTAATTAGTGTTATACATTTATCTTGTAAAGAAAACCAAGGAGAATCAGCTGTAAACACAAGGTTATATGCATTTTTCTCTCTTAACCTTTTCTTATTAAAGTGGACCCAAACCCTGTAAGACTTGTCTTGAAAAAGTGATTTCATAAACAAATTGGAGTAAAGTTTTGTTTTATCTTTTCCTTAATAGATTAGAGTAGACAATGAGTCGGCAAATTCATCTCCATATGAGTATTTACCATGAAGCGTACACTGGTGTATTTTTTAAGCTATACTTGAATACTGTATTCTTGAATCAGACAAGCAGTAGGTGTATAACAAAATAAAACGACAAGACTGTCTTTTGTTAGCTAATAACTTCAAATTGCTTTCAGTTGAGTGTCTAAGTTCAGCAGTGGTTGTCGTGTGGTTGATGCATGACAATGAGAAGAACTGTTGAACCTTACCTCTAGCCCTGGCAGCGCTGGGCATGACGAGCATGGGTGGGATCCTCTTGCAGGCGTGGTACTGTGCCTCCACTGAATTCAGTACTACTCGCACTAGTGCAGCCACCAGACCCACTGTACTACCCGCGCCGTAATGGTACTAAACACACATACATTATATCAACTTTATTCATTTAAATTAATGGGTTAATAATGTGAACCAATTGAGAAGAGCTCAACTACTTTCAAACCAAAACGGGACTCTTATTCATGAGCAATACATCATTTACGACCACTACTTAATTTTAGATTGATTTTGTATGTCCCACGATAGTTATTACATTAATGACTTAGCGCGGCAACGCACTTTAGACTCTTGTGAAGTAGCATAGATGGCGCTGATCGCTTACCATTAAGTGTTCCATCTGTTTGTTTGCTAACCAATACCATAAAAAACTGTTCTCTTACATTTGATTTAATACTAAACTTTGAGATATTCTAAATTAAAGTCATTATGAAAATGAGTCCCGAAAGCTTTATAAAACCCATAATAATATTGAAGTATGTAGAACCTTGTAGAGCACGACGAGCAGCGCCATGAGCCAGTGGCGGCGTACATGCGGCTGCAGCGCGCCCAGCGACTGCGGGCTGCCCGCGCCCGCGCCGCCGCCCGCGCCCCCGCCGCAGCAGTACTGCGACACGGACACTCTCGGTAATACATCTTACGTCTACTTCCAACACAAAAATCTTAAAGCAAAGTTTCATTCACGCGAATCAGTCAATAGAAATTTCTTAACGTACAACAGTGACCGGCTAGTAATAAAATTGATAGCCTGGTAAAAAGATTCTCCCTTTGAGAAGATCTACATACAAAAAAAGAATCATAAAACTTAACTAACTAAAATTATAATGTCAAAAGTTATTACTACTGTTACTTGTAATTATTCGTTTGTAGCAATTCGAAAAATGCATTGAATTACCCAGTCTAGTCAGAAACATCCCTATTATGTTCAAGTACAGTGTAAACAAATACAGACCTGCAGTAACAGTAAGGTCGGCTCGGCGATGCTGGCGCCCATCACGTGGTTCTGGTCCAAAACTTGAGGTAAGTTCGCCATGAACGCGTTGAATATCGACGATTGTCTATAATTAAAACATAAACGTAATAATGACAGCATAATATTTACATAAGGTGTATTATAATAAATCTATAGAGTTTGACTGTTTATTTAAACTAAAATTTGGAAGCACCGGTATAATTCGATTGACGGAGGTGGGGCGCAATGTTCTCTGATAAACCTGAACCTTTTAAACTGCTATCATCAACCCGCCTGTCAAGAGTCTCAAGCGTGGAAAATAACCTTTTTATGTAGAGGGAGCCTATAGTCTAACAATCCAAGGGCTGTTGATGTTCAATACCTAGTAATCCTAGTAGTCAACTTACCGCAATGTAAACGGTGAGATATGAAAGTATTTCTCGACGCAGTTGTAACCGAGCAACAGGAACAGGTGCTTCAGTACCAACTCCTGTGTCTTGGAGGACTGCTTGTCTTCCATGGGATGGGCTTGGTCGGACCTGAAACAATGAGAATATTATATAGTGTTCAACAAAGTATTAGATTGAAGGACACGTGAAGGTATATGACTAGGTGTATGACCAACATTTCATCAATTAACTCTTCGAGTACCGGTTTTATAGACACAATTAAAGAACAATAGGTCGCAGTCACCGGTGACCGCTTGGTGTTTGACAGTTTAATTCGTACACAATCACCTGATATAAATTCCCAAAATTTGTTCATACAAAAGTAGTCTCTAAACATCGGAAATAAGGTCTATAAAGGAGTTAGTGGAGAGCGGTCACCGGTAACCGTTTGGGGACTGATCAGTTAAAAATAAACCTCAATTTCCTTACTGGAATAAATGTACGAGTTTATGATAAAAAATAAAAAGCTATTGTTTACAGTAATTTTTAGAAACACTAACATTTCCTTTGTAAAATTTTGGATTTTAAGCTTTACACCTTTATAATAAAGTCGGATTTGAAATGAAGAAGATAAACCAGCAGCTATATAATAGTATCATAGTTATATATAATAGTTACCTGGACAAGAACTGCATAAGTAGGAACACCAACAAGTTAGTGGTCTCTCGGTCAGCCTCCTCGAGATCCACAGCTTTCGGTAGGATAGTGGTCAGTGTGTCCTCGGACCGACCCGACATTGAGTGGAACCCATCTGGAGACAACAAATATTGTTTTAAAACAAATTATTGTATTGACGAGGAACTCTCGACTAGTTTCAAGCCATGCTAGAGGCTCATAGTCCGTCATAGTCGTGGGTCGCGGAGTGCTATTCCGCGACCCGCGACGCGGTGACTGTCCAGTGGCAGCGCGACAGGACATCCTTACTTCCTTACTCATATTATAAATCGGAAAGTGAGTTTGTTCCACTTTAACGCCGTAACTACTAAACCGATTGTTTTGAATTTTTGCAGACGTAAAGTTACAAGTCCGGATTAAATAATGGGGTACTTTTTATCCCTGAAAAATTTTATATTCCCGAGGGAAAACAAAAGTATTTGTATAGATGGCGCTGTGGTATATGTCACATTTGCTTTTTATCCTTTTGTGACGCGAGCGAAGCCGCGGGTAAAAGCTAGTAATAATTAATTTAGAAATGAAAGTTTTGATATAACAAAGAAATTATTGTAAGAGTGAAATCAGAAAAACACGAGCTATTTCCTCCGGAGGAGGTATGTCAGGCAATTAAAAAATGATACATTCTTTCTAACCGCCTTCAAATAAGAAGGTTCTTTGTTTGACCTGTAGGTATGTTAAACGATTATCTCGCGATTAACTGAACCGATTTCGATGCGGTTTTCAGAAAAGTGTTTGTTATGACTAGTTATGTCACAAGTTACATGTAATTGCGGAACGAAGCTATTGCCATACATGGGGCACAGTTTTACTTCATCGCTATTAATGATAAACTTATAAAAAATCCAGAGTAGAATGGTGACCTTGAATGAAATTGCTGAAGGTACTTACCATGTGTATTATTGGACCGCTGCGCAGTGCCGAGTGGTTGCGGCGCGGCCAGTAGTTGTCCCAGGCCGAAGCGGGACGTCTTCCGCTTCAGCAGGGGCGCAGAGTACTGGCGCGAGTATACCTTCTCGCGTTCTAAATATATCAAAATAGAAATGTATTATTCAAAAGAAATACACAGGTAGTAAATCCTTACTAATATAATTATAAATCGGAAAGTGAGTTTGTTTGTTTGTTTGTTTGTTTGTTTGTTTGTTTATTCCACTTTCACGCAGTAACTACTAAACCGATTGATTTGAATTTTTGCAGACGTAAAGTTAGAAGTCCGGGTTAAATAATAGGGTACTTTTTAACACGGAAAAATTTGACATTCCCGAGGAAAAACAAAAGGATTGGTATAGATGGCGCTGTGTATATTGGTATATGTCACATAGGCTACTTTTTATCCTTTTGTGACGCGAGCGAAGCCGCGGGTTAAAGCTAGTGTGGTCATAATTATAGCAAAATTGTGTCACGATTGTGTTTATTCTTCGTCAATGCCAAAACGAATCGGTTTTTATTTTGTGTTGATATTATCAGAAGTTTGAAGAGATCCATGAAAAAACACAATACAATTTATTTTTCATAATGTTCTATCTTTAACAATAAATGTGGCTGTAGATGGCGCTACTATCTCTCTTGTTACTTTTTCTTCATTTTGCGAGCTAAATCTAATTATTTCAATAATTATTTATTATTTAGAGTCCAAAATAAAATAATTTCATTTCATGTGGGAACCGTCGATCTGCCCTATACAAACGAAATGTATGACGGATTCATTATACCTACTGCACATAATATAACATTGTAATACTTTGACATTGTATAATTTTATTATTGACATCCTAAACTCGACAGCAATTATACCTATTGAATTGATTATTACTATGATGTGACATATACCTACCTGACAATTATTATTATTTTTTCTTTTCTTTATGATTTGTAATATCTACCTACAATGTTAATAACAATGAATGTATACCCACATAACTAAAAATGTTGCAATGTCTGTAAGAGGCCGCTAAGTATTAAGCACTGTAAATATTTTTATAACCATCATCTGTACACTTAGTTGCAATAAACGCTTTGACTTTGACTTTGACTTATATAATCTAAGTACTTCAATAATAGAATACAATGTTTACAGCAAACTAATAAAATGACGATATCATACGCCCTTATTAAACTAACGGCCGAAGGGATTAATCAATTTTGAAGTTAGATGGAGCATCTGTCAGTTTGAATCGATCCAGAGACGTTAATATCAGCTTTAAAATAACATAGCATAGTTTAAACTTACCGTGTCTAGTATCCGGATGCGGCGGCATAGTGGCCGGTGCGGATATGGTCCGTTTATAAGGCCACTTGGTCCCGAAGGAGGCGCTGAGCGTGTTGACGTTGGTGTCCCGCGCCGACACGCTCAGCGCTTCGTGGGCACGCCGCACTTTGTACAGGAACCATTCTGAACTGGTTTCGCTGCTTACTAGTTCTGTGGGGGAAATTGTGGAGTTAAATGGTAGGTATGGGTGATTTGGTACAGTGAAAGCAAATGTTAATTTAGTTGAGGGTGCTTTTTACCATTGAATCGGAAATGTTTTATGGAATTCACTAAAGTTACAAAATAGAGGTTATTAACATTAGATCATATAAGTCACTTTTCCTTCTTCATATCAGAAGGAGTCTGTGTCCAACAAAGGGACAGTTTTAGGCCAACGATGGAAGTACTTAATTTTGAAAGTAAAACAAACATAATAATGGTTAGTCAGCCTTCAGTGAAGGTATCTTTAAAATTCATGGTAGAAAACCCCTTTTGGTTAGGTTCTAAAAAATAAGCGTTTCACAAAATATCACACTACGTACCAAAGAGCCAAATAACAGAAATACAGGTTTAACTGGAAAGGAAAACACAAACAAAATAAATAACACCAAACATGGCTACAAAATAACATGTAACATTAATGTATTGGTACATATATGAATAATCAACTTTGTATGCAAAAATCAGCCTTACTGCTTTCAAAATAAAGAGATTTTATATTTGAGGTTTCATTATTTCAAAACTATGTACCAATACGACTAAAGGAGAAAACTGTAAGGTCTTTATAATGTTAAAACTAATAAAATAAAAAAAATAAATGACATTCTTTGTTACCCATTTATGATATTCAGGATAAATAATTGTAAAAAATTTAGTATTTCTCACATTTTTATTACATTTTTAACTCTATTGTTTTTATACTAAGTCGAAAATTGAATAAAAAGGTACAGATTGGAGTAGGTTCACCTGCTGACCACTGTACTTTATTTATAATATATTTTTCAAAAGAGACCCTCTAACCCGAAAATGGTTCATAGATCCAAACTAAAAGGTATCGTCAAAGAATATATTCTCAGAGCCCCAATAAAAAAAAATTACAAAGACCTTACACTACCCTCCAATAACACTTACCTCTCAAATTAGAGAAGTCAATAGTCTTATTAGAATTTATCTGAGCTTCCAGGAAGAGGGCTTCAAATCTGTTCAGGAAGAACTCCCAAGTGAGGATCTTGCGGTCACTGAGCGTGTTGTGGAGCTGGTAGATAGACTGGAGGATCATCGGACGATCCACTATCACCAGGTCGAACTGCGTCTCCAGGCAGTATAGGAGTAACTGGAGAATATTGATGCATGTAGTTTATTTGAGTAACATCTTAATACTGAAGGCTCAGTCCGAGTTTGTTTTATGTTAAAAGTTTTTTTTATGGGATAAGCCGGTAAAAGAGCAGACGGATCACCTGATGATAAGCAATCAGCGACGCTCATGGACACTTAGAACACTAGAGGCGTTACCTACCGGCCTTTTGGGGATTAGGAAATAGAAGATTGTGGGGAGTTAAGGGATTAGGCACATTGTGGAAGGGGGATGGTAATTGGGTAACCTAACTCACACGGTGAAACACAACGTTGTTTCACGTTGGTTTTCTGCTCAGCCGTGGTATCACTCCACTTGGTTCATTGGAGTCGGCCAATCAGAGCGCAAAACGCGGTCTCGTTTCGATTATTTTAAACGAAAACAAACTCGGATAAAGCCCTCTGTAATGTTGCTTAATTTTAAGTTACACATATGGCTCTGCATTGTTCAAGTATTTCCAGAAGTAATTTGGACAGCGTTTTGAAATTAAGTGGCATTTGACTATTTAAACACAACGGTCAAAATTGATAACGGATCTCAATCCTTCTTAACTCCAAACTTCGGATAATAATACATTTTTGACATTACTTGTTGGTACTTGGAGTTTCTGCCAAAAACCAGAGATTCTGGGGTAAAATCGGTTACCAATTTTGACTGTAAATGTATTTATAATGACCTAAATCAGGGCTGTCTAAACAAAGGCCCGCCAGCCGCATGCGACCCGCGGCTTGTTTTCATGTGGCCTGCGACACACATTTTAATCTCAACATCTTCTTATGTGCAACAACAATAATAAAATTCAGTGTATGATTTGTATGCAAGTACTCAGTCTAGCTGTGGTAAAGAATACAGTTTTAACCCGTCGAGCGTCCGCGTTCCTTATGATCTAACGGGTGCACATGTGACATTTGGAGAAAGAAAGAAATAAAGAAAGAAAATGCATTTATTTGGCCATTGGCACACGAAAACAAGGATCATTACAATAGAAATAAAAAATACAGTCAAAATAAAAACACAACATTAATAATAGATTTTATAAAAGAGAAAGCAGCATGGAGCATTTTTTCTTATGATCCACCGGGTGCTCATAAGGACGCTCGAGGGGTTAAACGTCATTATACAATTGAAAATATTTTTCTGGCCCTCCAGCTTTTGTAAGAAATTTTATTAGCCCTCGAGGGTATATAGTTTCGACAGCCCTGACCTAAATAAACACGCACAGCAATTTTGTTTCGTACTCGAAATGTTTAATAGAAAAAATGAAGTATTTTCAATTATATTATTTGCTTCACGGCTTACTTACTTTATATTGGACGAGGTGACTCGACTAGTATCAACCCACGCTAGACGCTCATAGGGACGAGTGTTGCACAATGCTGCTCATGAATATGAACTCTTAGCCTGGGTGGAAACTAGTCGAGTAAGCCGTAAAACATAAATAGTTGAATGTCTCACGAAAGTCATAATACAAAATCTATGTTTATAAACATGAATCCCCCAAAATCTATCACGCATAACTTCATAACAACTGTAACAAATTGGGTGATTCTTTATGTGTTTGGTATTGTCAGGAGGAGGTTTGTATGAAACAAATTCAACGGAATGCGACGATTTCAATTTTACAGCTGTATGAAGAATAGTAGTAGTAATATGCACATAACAAGGTAGCAAAAATCATTCCAAGTACGAAACACATAGAAATAACATAACATAACATAACATCACGTCTTTTATCCCCGAAGGCCGAAGAGGTAGGTGTACATTATGCCACTGTACAATATAAAACACATAGAACACATAGAAATATAGAACATTTTCAAAAATATCTCACCCAGTATTATATTGAGCCCGTCTTCTCCCTGTATGATGCGAGTGGTTAACCGCTATCCTACGTTATCATTAGTCAGCGTAGTGACATAGTCACCGGTTTGAATACTGATAACATAGGACAGAGACTACCGGGGGTCTTCTTTCTTCTCTGTTTAAGAAGAGAGTACTCTATCTCTATCTATCTCTCTATATATATCTATTTCTATCTCATTATGTGTGTCTTGTGTCGACAAAGTTGAAGCAGAATTGTAATATATTATTACTTCAACATGTCTAAGGATAAACTATTTTTCTTTTTTATGATTAAACAGCAAAAAGTTTGTATGAGAATCACGTTGACAAACTAACGCTTACGGCTCACGTTAACAAACTATTGTTGGAGAGACACAACTGTAAAAGATGTACAAACAAGTCGATAGACTATATTGGGATTTACTAAAATACAAACATTCCAAAGGATACACGAAAATTATTTCACAAAAAAAAATGTTGAACAGGGTACAAAATTAACAATACTATACTAACACCAACACGTTAAACCGAATGAAGTGAAATATCAAGTTTCATCATTAGATTTTGAACTTTATAACGGGACAATAAAGTTGAAAATCTATCAAAGAACCTTGAAAACCGACGGAGCCGATGACCGTGGACATCTGGTTTGAAGAATAAGCCTAGGTATGTAGTTTAGGGCGCCTTCCAGCTAGGTGGACTGATGACAACCCCAAAGCAACTTTTTTGTGGATGACAGCAGTCCATCTAGCTAAAGTACCTATGTGTACCAAAGCTACTGCCGACTGGCTTCGCTAGGGGAAAGCTCAGTGGATTGCTTTGGAATAGCCTATATCCAGTACGGAATGGCCTGATGATGATGATGATCACAGAGGCTTGATGTGCTAGTGATTATACATGTGTAACGGAAAGACAATACATACAAAGGGCACGGTTATTTTAAATTAAACACAAAATAGGAAAACAGTGACGTGAGTAAGACGAAAACATAATAATTAACTTAGATGTCTTACGAAAATTATAATTATAAAAATACAGCCATAGTTTTTAAATCTTAAGTATTGTCTAAAGTCCAAATGGTTGTAAATTTTTAACATTTATTGGAAACATCCATACCGGAAAATAAAACTTACAATAAACACAAGATAACTTTTCATATTTTTGTAACAATTTGAATCAAAATTATGATGAGAGTTCTAATATTGAACCAAAACTGTAGATATATAGTGTTCAACCTGTTGAAATTCATCCCCTAAATTTGTTCATACAATAGTTGTCTCTAAACATCGGAAATAAGGTCTATAATGTAGTTTGTGGAGAGCGGTCACCGGTGACCCCTTAGGGATATATATATTAAGACAGCGTATGCGATTACTATAAGTCTGTGTGAGCAGTGAAGTACTCACGTCGATGGCGTTGTCGTGTACAGTGCCGATGTAGAGCGTGGCGCGCTGGGCCACGTACACGTTGATGTCGTCCATGCTGGAGATCAGGTAGCAGAATGCCGTCGCCAGCGCCGTCTGCAGCGGGAGGCTCGTCTTCACCGGGGAGCCGTCCATGAACCTGCACCATAAACATGGTTATAGTTAACCCTTTGAGTACCGTCATTGTAGACACAATTAAAGAACAATAGGTTGCGGTCACCGGTGTCATCGCGGTGTTTGACAGTTTAAATTATGTATTGGTATTTTGTGCTGAAATAAGGATTTAAATTCTATAAAACATAATGTGCATAGTGTTAAAGAGGGATTTCAAAATGATAAATCATTGTAACACAATTTCTAACATGTCTATTGGCCAAAAACCAAGTTTGATTCTACAAAATATTGAATATCCTTACTAATATTATAAATCAGAAAGTGAGTTTGTTTGTTTGTTCCAACTTCACGCCGTAACTACTAAACCGATTGCATTGAATTTTTGCAGACGTAAAGTTAGTAGTCTGGATTAAATAATAGGGTACTTTTTATCCCGAAAAAAATTGATATTCCCGAGGGAAAACAAAAGTATTGGTATAGATGGCGCTGTATGTATTGGTATAAGCCACATAGGCTACTTTTTATCCTTTTGTGACGCGAGCGAAGCCGCGGGTAAAAGCTAGTTAAAATATAAAGAAACAGTCAAATCCGACTGCCTCGTTGGCCGAGTGGTCGGAAGTGCGACTGCCGGGGCAAGGGGTCTCGTGTTCGCTTCCCGGGTCGGGCATAGAATTACTGGGTTTTTTATGAATTCTCAGTAGTAACACGGAGTCTGGAATGGCAATGGGACTCATAACATAAATAGTGAAAAGTGGATGTTATATTGTACAGTGGCATTAAGTGCCATAAAATGCACCTCTACCAACCCCATCGGGGATAAGAGGCGTGATACTATGTCAAATCAGATATATTTCCCATTGTAGATTAAAACATGTCCATTGATTGGGTAAAGGATCTGTGTAAATGTTGCCTGATTTAAGATAACGCCTTTCATATAACAGCAAACTTCTTCCAACTAACATTAATAATGACTCCACTTACCTAATAATAATAGTAACTCGTTCCACAGCCGTGAACCGTACATGGTAGTCGTGATGATGGAACTGGTCCCGGATGAGGTTACAGAAGACATCGGCTCCCCCCGCCAGGGTGACGCAGTGCAGCAGTACGGGCACCGCCACCGAACATATGTGCGAGTGGGACGCGTTGCACACGTTCCATAGACTGGCCAAGAGATGGCGTGGTTATACAATTATAGACATGCTTCATTTGATTGACCTTTTAGAAATTCAATTTGACATAGCGTCGGTGCGCCTGCCAAAACTGATATGTGCAAATGTTTAGTTTTTTTTTTCTTAGCTAGATGTCCTTCAAATCGGATAGCGCATCGATTACAAAAACAAATATGTGTTATTTCCCTCTACAAATCGATTAGACCAATCTTATATGTGTACTTTCTGGCCATGACAAATTGGTTATGTGTTCAATTGGTTACGGGTTATGTGACATAAAACGCACATGTCAGAAGTTGCAGCATCACATAGATAGTTTGGCAGACTGAATATCAACAGTTTTTGTTTAAAATGTTTACCGTTTTCTAAGATAAATCTAATATGTGCACCAAAATGGTAAATAAAATTATTGAGGATGAACAGTACATGTTATCATTTTCACTTTTATGTCAGTCATTTTTATCATAATTTTTGCCATCATATTATCATCATAAGTGTAAAAAATAGTTTATTGTCTCCCCCTGACCCTGAAAACTTGTCTAAATGCACATAACAGTTTTGGCAGGCGCGCCGACGATAGTCAATTTTCATACGAATTAAATTTGAAGACTTTAATGTGCACGCGCCAAGCACATATACTTGATCTTTATACTAGCTTTAGGATTTTTTATGTGTTTAGATTTTTAGATAAACGCACACTTTGACTCTGATAAGTTTGTATATCGCACATAAAATGATAAGAACCCATGACTTATTGCTGTTCTCAGATGTCAATTAAAAAGGAACCAAATCATGAGACGGATCAGCTGATGGTCAGTAGTCAGCGCCACTTGTGGACACCAACAACACCAGAGAATTCAAAAGTTGATATTAGCTTACTTGTCAATAAGCAGATTCTCCTGGCACCAGATGAGGAAGCCGCGATGGTCTGCCAGAGCATCAGTACTCAGTACTAGTACTTGCAAACATTGTAGGAGATGGTACAACACGTCCGGACGAGAGGTGCTCTTCAGCTCCTAGGATAGGTGGCATAAGGTTTAATATCAAACAACTTCAAAATCTTAAAAAAAATGTCCATGGTTATAAATCACTTATGTTCAACAAAGTCTTATAATTATGCTAAAATGATATGCGCTTTGCGCAAAATGTGACGAATTTCAATGCCACGCGTGGAACAACGTAACGTGATCCACAGAATCTATTGTAATTCCATTTCTGTATATGAGGAATTTGAGAGTAAATTCCTAACTAAAAAAAACTTAATTCGTTTTAATTCGTTATAATATATAATACAAGATCTACTACGGCGTAGCACGTTACTACGGCGTAGCACCGTAGCACGTCAAGACCTACCTGTAATAACTGATGGATGTACTGCAACTCTTGAGGCAGTTCTTCAATACAGAAGTGGAACTTGCCGGCAGACGTTGGCCAGAAGTTCGTCATGTCATCTTCGACTGATTCTGCCATATTCTCATGGTCACCTAGTAGGTTTGGAGTTGATACCTGTTTGCAATTTTGCAAAGATTGTTTTATTATTGAATAGAATGGAATACAAAAGTATATTCGTGAGTATGAAATTTAAAGGGCATAATACAAATGTTTAATTTTCATGTTTACATAAGACTGTTAAATATTAATGTGACAGTCGAGTACAAAAGGCTCAGGTTTTGTTTAAAGGGGCGTATAAGATTTTTTTGACATGTTTTCACCAAAAACTCGGAGACCACATTTTTCCGGTGTTTTGATGCCATGGAAATCCGGTCATTATTCGGAAGGTCATGAAACATTTTAAGATATCAACATAACATTACATAACATCATTCCTTTTATCCCGAAGGGGTAGGCAGAGGTGCACATTATGCCATTGACAATGTAACACTCACTTTTCACTATTTATGTTATGAGTCCCATGTAATAGGGGGTGAGTCTATTGCCATATACTGGTCACAATTCCAGACTCCGTGCTACTACTGATATTTTTTAAAAACCCAGTAGTACATATTTTGCCTGACCCGGGTATCGAACCCGAGACCCCTTGCCCGCCCGGCAGTCGCACTGACGACCACTCGGGCAACGAGGCAGGCAGTTTAAGATATCAAATAATAGATGATCCAAGGGACAGACTAAGAGAGGTAGAGGTAGGTCTAGCAATGACGATACAATAGTGAGAAGCGCTCACGTCGGCGGTGGCGGTGGCGACGTCGGTGTCGGTGAGCGTGACGGTGTGCGCGGTGGCGAGCGCGGGCGCGTCGGCGGGCGGCAGCGACACCGCCATGTCCAACTGCTCCGTGATGGTCTCCACCGTCGCCGTCATTATCTGCGCACGCCGCTCATGGCTACTCAACTCACACTTTAACTTACACGTAACGGCTAAACTCCAGTGTCAGACGATAGCTATCAATTGCTAACACTAAATTTTTGTTTGATTATGTGACTAATAATTATATTTAGGAGAAGTAAACTTTATCATGTAGCATTTAACCCACCGAGTGTCTAACACACAGAGTGTCTAGCGAGACACAATGTATTTACTATTGTGTCTTATATAAAGGCATTCAAGCGGTTAAGTCTTTCTGTTGTTTATCTAAAATAAATTTTGAAACTTGAACTAAATTTATTGGAATTGGTGGAATGTATAATTTTTAATGGAGATCATTTCAAGACATTTCGCTTTAACTCGTCGAGTACCGGTTTTATAGACACAATTAAAGAACAATAGGTCGCGGTCACCGGTGACCGCTTGGTGTTTGACAGTTTAAAATCTATATTTTAACAGCCCTATTAAAACCAATTGTAAATATTTTTTATATACCTGTATTACGTACATAGCATTCCATACATACACACATACGTATTCTTCCAGATAAGTAATTTTTATATATCGTCTATAACGATGGTGATTATTTATAAAAATCTATTTTTTTATTTATTTACATTGACCGAAACAATAAATATTTCAGTCAGAACTACATACAACATCAAACTACCGACTTCACTGTGAAATACATGGAACTAAGCTTGTTAATATTTACTAACACTACAACAGCTATTTTAATTATTCTGTATCCACAGTGAAGTCTTAAAGAGGCCAATTTTGTACCAACACTTGACATTTTTACATAAAAAAATCATAATTTAACGATTCTATATTAATAACTTGTCAAAAACGACAGGGATAACTTGAACATACGTATTGTTACATATGCATGCACATAACTCCAAAACAGCTGTATCAAATCGAAACATGTTAAATATTTTCCCTTTTTCTCAGAACATTTTATTTGAAATGTGAACTAGGAAACTAATGTCGGAATACTGAAACACTACTCAATTTTAAGTCGTGCTTAAGTATAGTTCTGTCTCTACAAATTCCTTGTAAAATGACAGAGATGGTACGATATTTGAGCACGACTTAAAATTGAGTAAAGATTCAGTATTCGCCGTGAAATTTAAACTGTAAAATCTGACTAAGTACGAAATTGGCCTGCATCTAAACACCAATAACACAAAACACATTCACATATGAATAAGCACAAGAGAAGTAAGATAGACGCTTCGCTAACGAGATGTCTTACATACATAATATACCTTAAATCTTAAAGTTCAAAATACATAGAATTCAAGTATAAGTAGTATCGACTTCTGTAACCGATACTATTATCTCAAATCAAATCAAATCAAATCGTCTTTATTGTGGACTATAGGTATGCATCAGAAATACAGGTCTTAAATAATAAAAAAGTACAGCTATGTCCCGCCGTTGAGGCATACAATAATAATATACAAAACAGAATTTAAAACACAATTAGTCATAATGTTTAGTCTCAATACAATTTTAAAATACTTCAAATACATACAAATTCAATATAAAGTCATGAAAGGTAAAATATATTATAATTCATTATTACAAAATTTCAAATCACATTCTTACATAAATGTTAAAAAGTGGAAAGACAAGCAAATTAAATGTCAACTACAGTTCAATATATTATTATACACATACATATTCACTTTTCTTGTCATTGGAAGACAATATTTTTGTCACACAAGTAATCTTTAACATCATAATAACATCTCACTATTAGGAATGAATGTAATTTCTTTTTAAACTGGTGGATTGGTAATTGTTTAATGTCATCAGGCAATTTGTTATATATTAATGATGTCATGCATAAAGAGCTTTTATTTAATAGTGCTGTTTTACCATAAGGTACCTGTACCTCTAACCTTTTTTTATCCCTTAATTTTCGATAATAGCTTTTGTCAGCAGTTTTATAGTAATTTAGATTTGATTTCACAAAAATACTTGATTCGTAAATGTATAGGGAAGGCAATGTGAGAATTTTTAGATTTTCAAAGTAAGGTTGACAGCTAATTGTGTTATTTATTTGGCACATTGCTCTAATGCACTTCTTTTGAGCTTTAAATACAAGTTCCTTGTCTACCGAATTTCCCCAAAATATAATACCGTATCTGAGTAATGGTGCCACCAGTCCGTGATAAGCCGTTAAAATTGCTTCCTTGTTAACTATTTTGGAGAGCTTATAAAGAGCGAATGAGGATTTGTTAATTTTTTTGCAGAGATTATCTATATGAGTTGTCCATGAAAGTCTATAGTCAATATTTATACCCAGAAATTTTGTATTTGTTACAGATTCTACTGCCTGTCCATTATAATTTACATTAATACTATTTGGTTGAGTTCTTTGGTGAAAGTGCATTATGTGTGTTTTATCTAAATTTATTTTCAAATTGTTGTCAATTAACCATTTAATTATAGTTCTTAATGTTTCATTAATTTCATTTTCATAGTCCTTTTGACTGTCACATTTTATCACTACATTGCTGTCATCTGCAAAAAGTACCATTGGATGTTTTATGTGTCTAGGGAGATCATTAATATAAATTAGGAAAAGCAAGGGACCTAAGACACTACCCTGTGGAACTCCTAGTTTTATGGTTCTAATTTGTGATCTATATGTCTTCTCATCCCGCGTTTGAAGGCATATCCTAGTTATTTCTGTTATCTGCTTTCTATCATGTAGATAAGAGTGGATGAGGTCTAGTGCCTTCCCCCTTATGCCGTATGAATCTAATTTCTGAAGGAGTATGTTATGGTCAACACTGTCAAAAGCTTTACTCATATCCATGAAAATAGTACATATTGGATTTCTTTTGTCCACATTAGTCAAAACCATGTTAGTGAGTTCATATATTGCAGCGTTAATGGACTTACCTTTGCGAAATCCTTTTTGTTCGCTAATCAAAATATTATATTTTTCAAAAAAATTGTAGAGACGACTATAAATTACTTTTTCAAATATCTTAGAGAAGATGGGTATCAGAGCTATAGGTCTATAATTACTCATATTGCCTTTGTCGTCTTTTTGTGGAGAGGAATAATGACCGATGTTTTAAGTTTTTCTGGATAAGTTCCAGTAGAAATGCATAGATTTATGATGTGACTTAAATGAACTGCGATTGATTGCGATACTTGTTTTGTTACTTTAGTACAGATGCCATCGTAACCCTCACTTGATGTATTTTTAAGTTGCTTGATTTCTCTGTCCACCTCTATTGGGGTTGTGGGGGTAAGGAAAATCGAACTTAAGTTAGTGTGCATGTTTTGATTTGGAGTTTCTTTATTTTTGTAATTATTGGTACGCATCAATTTTGCAGCTTGGTCAATGAAATAGTCATTAAAATTATTCGCAATCGATGTTGGATCTGTAATGCTTACGTTATCTGTTAATATTTCTCTAATTGGTTCCCTGGGAAATTTAAATTTTGAATTGTTTATTAGTGACCAAGTGGCTTTTGATTTATTTTGAGCTGTGTTGATGCGATGATTGTTTTGTGCCTTCTGCGTAAGACAAATAATTTTTTTAAATTTCGTAGCATAGTGCTTGAATTTATGTTTGTTTGTTTCCGTCCGGTGTGTTCTATAATGCCATAATAATTTTCGTTTCACTTTGCTGCAAATTTTGATACCTTTTGAAACCCATTTTGTTTTTTTGTATAATGATTTTGTAATTAATTTGTAAGGAAAACACAAGTTATAGAAACATAGGAAAAGATCCAAGAAACGATTGTAGGCTTCGTTTAAATCATTCGTCAGGTAAATGTCAGTGAATGTCAAGGTATTTATACAATTTTTAAATTTCGTCAAATTTTCCTCACTGTAATCGCGTACTTTAATGCGCCAAGACTTTAGTACACAGGATTTTTTTACTGGAAAGTGCAATAATTGGGCAGTATGATCTGATAATCCTAATTCAATTATTTGGCTTTTGCATTTATGAGTGTTGTGGGCAAAGTTGTCAATGCACGTGCTACTAATGAGTCGAGTGGGAACCGTAATTTCTAGTTTTAAGTTATGACTTTCTAGAATTTGTTCAAAATCTAAAGTTTGTCGGTTTCTTTTCAATGTATTGATATTAAAATCCCCGCATACAATAACTTTCTTACTAGTGTTATCACACATTTGGTGCAGTAACTTTTCTAAATTTTTAAAAAAAGTAGACATACATGAGTTGGGTACTCTGTACACACAAACTATTATCAACCTATGTTCAGTTAGTTCTATTGCACTATATTCTATGATACCTTTACTTGAAAATGTATTATTAAGTACAGCATATGGGTGTCCTAATCTAGTTAATATACAGGCACCTCCCCTATTTACATCTCGTGAAAAACTTGCTGCCAAGCGAAATTTGGGCAAATTAATTGTAGCCTCTTGTTCTGGTGTCATAAAATGCTCAGTTATACATATTATGTCGATGGGTATATCCTTCTGTTCTAATTCTTCTAAATGTACTGTGAGAATGTCAGCTTTAGTTAACAGGCCAGCAATATTCTGGTGTAAAATGTTTATATTATTATAGATGAAAAAACCGTGAGTTTTGCTTGTTTTCCCCAGTATCTACATAAGGAAATAACCTTAAGTCAATTTTTATCCTCTCCATAATATTTTTAAATATGAAGCTAGTTCCAGTTTTATTTAGTTTCCCTGATCTGTCTGAAAACATGTTAAATTCAAATTCTAAGTCCTTATTCGAGTCAAAAAAGTATGCGTATTTATGATATTCTAGGTCCATGTAAAGTAGGTTATTAAATATATCAACTTTATAGTTATATATAGGGGATCCGCGTACATACGTAGGTGTACATATTATGATATTTGTGTGGGTTATATGTCTCAAGCTTTCATTAATTACTTTCACAAGGTCAAAATTATTGTCAGTTTTAATATCTGAATCGCCTAATAAAATTATACAATAGTCATTTATAGTGAAATCGTCTAGTTTTGTTTTAATATTAGTTAAGAGATGTCTTATTTTTGAGTTAGGCATTAAATAGCTACAATACTTAAAGTCATAAGAAAAATATTCTTCAATCGCTTGTAATATGCCTCTATGTGTGCTATTACTTAATACGCACAGTTTCCTTTGTTTGATATCCTCGTGAACTCTTGATCTCGTACTGTTCTTCTTTTTTGATGCCAAGTTATTTGTTTTATTTAGGTTTTTATTTATATTCAGCTTGGGTTGACTAACTTGGGTGGTGCTGGAGTTGTTGACAGAGGAATCTTTACCCCGTACTTTCTCGTCGTCAGGCTCGAAGGGTTGAGAGGAGGCATCGAGGGTGGGTTGCAATACTTGATTTTCAGAGCCCTGCTCTGAAGGAGGTCTGCTGTTGGTAATTTCCTGGTCATTATGACTTGTGCTCGGTTTAGAAAGTGTTTGAGCTGGTGTAGAGCAGCGTCCCTTTCTTTTATTAGCACGCGATGATAATGGGGTCATGCAGAGACCATCTGATAGTGCAAGATTCTTGTAAGCTTGAGTTGTTTGCAAGCTTTTGTTCAAATCACATTTTAAGCGATAGTTTTCCAAGTTTAGATTTTCAATTTCTTTGTGAGCAATATCTAGTTCTTTACTTAGACTGTCTATCTTTTCTCTTAAGTCATAAATAGTTTGGCTATCATTTAAAGACGTGTTCGGTAAACTTGTCATAGTAGCGTCGAATAGATTTGTGTCTGTTTTCGAAACATCATTTAAGGAGAGTGTGAGGTGGGGTTTTCTTTTGCGTAAAGTAATATTTTTGTCGAGCTCCATGTTTTCGTATTTTATATTTAGTGACTATTTTTATTTTCTACCAAAATACTTTTTTTTTTTATTCTGGTATCTCTAGTTTTTTGTGGCAACACTTTCCCCCTTTTTTTTTAATGGTAACACTGGTCAATATGTCAATTTTATTTCTGCTACTTGACACTAGATGGCGATGTTCGGTATGAAGTATTTATTATTTGTAGTAGCAACCCTAATGTTAATGTCAATTTTTAAACGTCAATGTCAATATTTGTTTCGCTACTCTCTACTAGGGGCGCCACTTATGGTACAAAGTTCACTTTTAAAACAAAAACATTACACTTAACCGTTTTTTATACAGTTATAAGTAATTAATTCACCATTATTATGTTTTTAAATGTTCCACTGACGAGAATACATTTGTACAGTTCGCATACACTTGCTTTGTCAGTGATTAACACTTTTTTGAAACACAATAACGTTTAACAGTTCAAATATTAGATACAATGTTTTTATTGCATATCTTGGTGTATAGAAGTCACCAACAATTGCACTTATGTGGTTTGATATGCCTATTATGATTCACTACAACACACATCACTTGTACTATGATTAATATTTGTTTCGAGTTTTAAATACGCGGGCGATGTTTACTCAATGCTGTGTTGCCAGCCTTTGTCTGTCCAATTAGTTCGGTTATATCGATATTAGTTTTATTTTAATCGATAAGTTTTTATCGATATTAATAGACTATGACAAAGTAAAGTTCGAAGACAAAATGTGTTATAGAATAATGAGATTTTAGCCTGAAAATAACGCGAAATATATTTAAAGATTTTCATTTACAAAAAAAAATAGAGTATTTCATATGTAAAACATCTCGTTAGAAAGTTTGTAAATAAACCAGTGAGACGTACTTGTGTGTCGCCCGAAGATTTAGTGATCGTGGCATCCGAGCCCACGTCGCTTATGAGAGAGAGTTGCATGAAATGAACAAACTATACAACTACGTTACAATTATATTTACTATACACATTTATGACCTAGCCAACCCATTGAATTTACTGTCTTTAGTTATTTATTTAGTTAAAACGATGGTAAGTTATTGTGTATTAGGTAACTTCACAATTATTCAAGGATATCAAGTTATTTCGATTATTCTAGTTCTTTTAATATTCGATTTTATTACTAAATGTTAACGTTGAAATTTCTTCCAATAAAAACATAGTTGCAAATAGTTACTGAAACTTGAACACAATAAATAGCCATCACTATAAAATTTGAGCCCACCATGCAAAAGTTGAATAGATAGAACAATGAAATAATAGAGAAGCAAATTAATCGATTGGGAATAAAATGTACGTATCGATTTGAACCAACATCGATCGAATGAACAACATCGATAACATGTAGTGGAGTGCGAGCGCAGTACGTACATGCGGCATGTGGACGAGCACGCCGCCGACGGCGCCGGCGCGCTCCGACAGCGGCTGCGCCAGCGCCAGCAGCCCGTCCGCCGCGCCCGGCGTGCCGCCCGACTTGCTGTCCTCCGACGGCGCCTTCTTGGGGACCGGCTCCGCCCACAGCTCCTCCACCGACGCCTGCCCGCCCAACGTATATTGTACTATGGAACTGCGGGCCCGCACCGCGGCGAGCGCGGATGAAAATCGCGCCGTGAGTCCGTAGCCTTTTTTTAAGGGGGGAAATTCATCGAATGACTGCTCCCGCCTGGGTGAGGCGGAAGGGAGTGTCAGACTCTTATTGACTAAAAACCACCCCGTTCCTTCTCCTGCACGTCGAGCCGGAGCCCCGGTTACCCGTTAGGTTCTCCGCGACAGTCCATAGCCTTACGCGTTAATGCCAAAAGTAGGCGCCTGTACATAATTTTGTGCAATGTGTATATAATATATACACTTAAAGGAAAGATGAGTTTACCTCAGTCATAGGCTTGGGTCTATCAGGAACGAGTGCCCTGACGAGTAGTACAGCCAGTTGATGCCACAGCGCGGCCGCCTCGCAGTACGAACACGCTCCCTCCGCCTGGCATACCGCTGTATAAAGTCAGATCATTTATTTATAGCACTCTTTAAAATGAACTAAAAGGGACTTTGAAGACAATAAAAATACACATACAATAATTTTATTAGCTCATAAGGGACAAAACAGTACCACATTTTCATAAAAATTACTAGACCAGATGACTAAGATCAAGCATCGTGTATTCGTATTGGTTCTCCAGCTTCGAATCAAAACTTCATCCAATTTATTTCAATACACCACTCTGGACTTCATAAAAATGAAGAATACCTATGTTGCATGTTATAATTTTTTATATTATGTAGTGTTTCCTAGCTAAGCTACTAGGTGATCTGCTGACCTACTAGCACACAAGATGGGGTGAATATAAATAAAACCGCCACTGTGTACTGACCTAAGCTGGTAAACTATTTGTTCTTGTACTTGTACTACTTGGTCTTACAAATCAATTTTACCTTATAGTTTTATTGGTAACGAAACCATAGCTCGATTTTAATTGCGGCAACGCCATCTATCGAGCCATGAGACAACTTTTGAATAATAATATTTATTTTGACTTTAACAATAAGTTTGGTCTTGAACATGTAGTGAAATTTTACATAAGTGTGGTCATAAATCTAAACCTGCCAAACTTTAACGTTCGATGGCTAATGCTCTACTCACCATGCTCAATAGTGTTGGTCTGATTAGACTTCAGCATGAGTCGTAGTAGCTTGGTGGCCTCACTGCTTACATTCTGACTGTTTATACGACGCTGTTGTAGCTCCATCTGTACATAATCAGTATCAGTATTATGTAGGTATAATACAAAGTATCGCAGGTTGAGTCTTGCACGATACAACCCTTCGTGAGATCCACAATAAAAGCATGTTATAGTTAGCGCATGTGATGCAAGTGATGATTAGCGCATGTTATTTACTGTTTGCTTGTTGTACTAGCATATGGTACTTAACGAATGTAATAGTCATGGTTAGCGCAAATGGTAGTTAGCGCAAGTGGTAGTTAGCGCAGGTGGTAGTTAGCGCAAGTGTTAGTTAGCGCAAGTATTAGTTAGTGTACGTGGTACTTAGCGCAAGTTGTAGTTAGCGCAAGTGGTAGTTAGCACAAGTGCTAGTTAGCGCAAGTGGTAGTTAGCGCAAGTGTTAGTTAGCGCAAGTATTAGTTAGTGTACGTGGTACTTAGCGCAAGTTGTAGTTAGCGCAAGTGATACTTAGCGCAAGTGGTAGTTAGCGCAAGTGGTAGTTAGCGCAAGTGGTAGTTATCGCAAGTGTTAGCGTAGTGTTAGTTAGTGTACGTGGTAGTTAGTGCAAGTTGTAGTTAGGGTAAGTGGCAGTTAGCGCAAATGACAGTAATGGTTAGCGCACGTGTTCGTTAGTGCATGGTATCAAGTGTCTAATACATGTAAGAGTGTGTGTTTGTGTATGTGGCAGCATAAAATCACATTAACCTGTTTGAGCAGAATATCCAGCATGAGTATACAGCAGGTGAGGTTCTGTGGCTTCATCTGATCGTCCTTGTCCTTCTTGTCCTTGTCTGTGTTACTGGGGGAGTCCTTCGAGTCTTTAGGCTTAGAGCCATCTGTGGGGAAAACATCAACAGTTAAGACTTTGGTTTAATACAGGCATTTTGACCAATTATAACAAAATTGTTCAATAGTAAAGTTAGACCAATTCAAAGATTTGTACGGAGCAAAACGAGAAAATTCAATCATTTTTGCTTATTTGCTTTGCTTTTAAAAAATATTACAAATCATGTGATATTCCACTTTCAACTGTGTCAATCATTTTTCTATTTTTGTAATAAATACATTACCTATAGTAGGTGGCTTAAATATCTTCTCCGGCAGGTTGACGACGCAGTGACTGAACAGATCGAACAGCTGGTTCAATGGAATGCGGACGTCCAACATCGATATAGTCTGGGAAAACATAAGATAGACATATAGGTTCAAACAATAATCACAAACGACAATTCAACTTTAAATAAAATTAAGGTCTATATTCAATTAAACAAACGATGAAGACAATTTCAGCCGGTTAGAAGTAATTACAGCGCACGCTTAACAAGTTGTCCGCGCTTTAGGTGGCGGCACATACCTATAGCGCTGCCAACATGTTCCGCGCGAACTATACGAGACATTGTATGCTGGGCATTGACATCGGCATAGACAACACTAATCCACATCTACTGATTCTCACTTGTTAGTAGTAAACATAAGTCTCCTAAATTTGGAAAATACAAGCAACATTAAACTCTAAAACGCAGGCATACAGTCTAAATTTTTATGAATCAAGTTTTTCTATTTTCTAAGTTCAATAAATTTTATGGCATACGGACCTGGAACCACTCCAGCACGGGTAGGACAGTATCAGGTGTAGGAGTATCAGTGACCTTGAGCACTGCGAACTTATACAGATTTTTCTCATCAACGCCAACCATTGCACCTTCCGGCTCTAAGATCTTACCGAGAGGCACTTTCAGCTCCATTAGTTCCTGTAAAGTTAATGAAGGCGTTAGGATATGTATGGCTTCTTTCAAATCTTAAGAGAAAGCAAGTAGAATGGAGAGCAACACCCACTTTGTCCAGTTATATTTGGAGGAAAGCAAAGTGTAGGGTAACATTCAGTTTTCACAAGTTATCACCCGAATACTGAAAGTTGCATTAATATTCGTGCCATCTCTGTCATTTCACAAAGAACTAGCTTCTGCCCGCGCAATCTCGTTTTCCCCCGTTCCCATAGGTTTTAAGGATTTTTTTCTGTCATAAGAACCTTCTCCTGACAATAACAAACACAACAAAATAAAATCAGAAAAATCGGTCTAGCCGTTCTCAACTTATGGCGTGACAACGGGAAACGGGTGTCATTTTTGTATATATAAGATAAGATAAGATAAGATTTGTAGATACAGAACTATACTTAAATCTTTGACTGCCAATAAAAAACTGTTGAAGGTAAATCCTCCGCTAACGCCGGTCACCGGTGACCCCATGGCGTTTAATGTGTTAAGAGCGTCGAAAATTGAGCAGCATTTGTGTATTTGGACATAAGCCACGAGTCCTGTGAATTTAATAGCGGCCAAGCTTAGCTATGTATCATCGACAGCCGATAAGTGGCCACTGCTGACCAAAGGTCTCTTCTCACACAAGAAGGTTCGAGTATTAATCATCACGCTTGCTTAATGCGGGTTTGGCGATTTCAAACTTAGATATAATACGGTAGTTGACAACTAGTCAAGTTCAATACTTTTATCGAAATGTCAAAGACGATACTGTTCTATGAATTTTGTATGAAATAGCATCTTATGACGTCATCATATTTTTGCGTCAAAAAGCACACTTACCTATATCTAAAAAATATGCAAGAATAAATCGAAAATTAAGTATATCGGCAAATCAATGAATGAAAGTGTAACTATTTTTCAATATTTAATTGGACTGAAAAATCAAGATAACTTATTTTAGACCCAGGAAACTACCCAATTACAAATTATAAGCCTAGATTTCCTCACGATATTTTCCTTCATCGTTTGTCAGTGGTGTATAAATACATATACTCCGTCTGTTTAGGTAGTTAACTATTTGTAAACAAACCATAAAAAGAGTTCTTTATAGTTGACATTTCCATGATTCAAAATACTTAAAAAGAAAATAAAATTGTTTCCCTTTTTACGACAGTTTTCTCTATTAAATGTTATGTTTCTGTTCCTTTTCACTTATTTCTTAATAAATATTATATATATCTGCTTGAGGATATTAATTTAATAACATTTATTAAATAATATAATATTTCATTACAATAGACACCATAAAGAGCCTAAAATCCCAGGTATCCAAAACGTTTCTTTAAGAACGAAGCAAAATAATGTTGTCAAATTAAAGAGTACAACGAAGATGTAGCGCGACAATGAAAGTAGCGTGTATTACGTTTAGTCGGTTAATCAGGCGCCATTGACAGCTCTCTCGTCGTTTGCGCTCGCGTTCCTATTTTGTTGAATTTAACTTGTTTCTTTGTTTTGTTTTTGTTATTAAGTTATTTAAGTTTAGGTTAATCATCGTTTGTAATTAATGTGTTCAAATATATTGAAGAAACTTGGCCCAAAGACAGATATCCGTACAAGAAAGAAATCCGTACATCAGATTCAGAATAGTTTCTATTTAAACATGATAATGAAATAGACCCATAGGCTAGGCTCTTGTACGATTTAGGCATTTGTACTTGTATGTGTGTGTATGACAAATGAACGATTTTAAAGTGAATTTAGTTAAAATTAAAACACGAGAAATAGTTGAAGTAATAGTAGGTTAAGTATCTCTGTGTCACGTGGTTTTTTTTGTTTACCTTTAGTTAATTACCTAAACAGATGGACTATAGGTGATCTTAGAAAATACATGTAACTCGGAAAAAGTCATATTAGTACTTGCCGTTGGTAAGTTTCGAAGCCGCGCCCTCGTGCATGAGGCGGCTTAAGCCTCCGAGCCACCACGACTGTATGTATCATTACTGATAACTAGCCAAGCTTGAAGTATGACGATTACCATTGGAATACCATGTTGCGATAACAATAATACTACATCGCCTTACCTTCTCTGGTACGTCAGTACAGATAGCTTCCATCCATGCTGGCATGATGAAGTCCCAGATGGACTGCGTGATGATACCGTACGGGATCAGGCAGTACAGTCTGGAAACAATAACAAAAATTATGCTTCTATCTTTGATTTTTATAAGAATGGAAGCTTAAGCAGCAAGTGGAAGTGCAAAAAAGGTTCGTTAACCAATGATGTTCTCATGATCCAGTATATCTACTCCTTCCCCCCCCCCACCCTTCAACCAGCAGCTGTAGCCAAATGCCATTTAGCGCTTGTTTATATGTAGAATAGCAAACTAAATTATATGGAATTGACGTAAATTTTGACGTCATCCCCATACATTTAGTTTTCTACTCTCTCTGCAGACAAGCGCTAAAGTGGCGTTTGGTTAAGGGCACAGCTCTGAAAACTTTAGGTTTACCATACCACATTGCGAGTGCTTGCATTCGTCAAAAACTATAGGCAGGTTTAACGTTGTTGTTTCGTAAACAGTTCTAAATCTAATTGTTTCGAAGCAAGTATTTGTTATTGGTCGATTATTGTTCGTAAAAGATGCATGAAATTGTTAAATGACGTAATGTGGGCAGTTTCTTAAATCACTTCTCGGAAGCTGTTTGTTAAGAATGGGGATTATGACTAAGTATCGTCGGCTAGCGACAAGCTGATGATGATTAGAAAGAGTAACTTATAGAGTTAATTGCTCGTTCTTCTCCATAGAAATTTACACCTTGGAACGAGCAAATAGTTTCACTAGAGGATCAACAGACTGATCCTTCAATAACTTTTATGTTCGAAGTTGAAAAGTGTCTTCCTGGGTGGTTATTTTTGAAACCAATCATAATTTTTTCAATGTAATTTTAATCAAAAAAATCTCAATAATGATTCAATGTCAAAACTATACAACCCTTATCGTAGCTGTTGAAATAGCATTCAGAGTACGGAATATAAAGCCAAACTCAATACCTTTTAGTTTATTAAATATCCACGCAATACGGATGCAATGGCCGCTAGTGTTACAACTCAAGAGTACGAAATGTCACAATATGAATGTCGGTCGATCGGAATTGGATTGAAGAGTAAGCTCCTGGTCTGAAGTGAGTTAGTGTCGTACCTGTTGAGTCCGTCCTTGAGGTGGTGCGCCTTGGAGGCGAGGTTGTCCCAGTGGCCGGCCTGGCGCGTGTAGTGCGGCGGGTGGGGGAGCAGACAGGCCAGCAGCACGGCGCGGTGCGACGCGGCCACCGTGGTCTGAAGTGAGTTAGTGTCGTACCTGTTGAGTCCGTCCTTGAGGTGGTGCGCCTTGGAGGCGAGGTTGTCCAGTGGCCGGCCTGGCGCGTGTAGTGCGGCGGGTGGGGGAGCAGACAGGCCAGCAGCACGGCGCGGTGCGACGCGGCCACCGTGGTCTGAAGTGAGTTAGTGTCGTACCTGTTGAGTCCGTCCTTGAGGTGGTGCGCCTTGGAGGCGAGGTTGTCCCAGTGGCCGGCCTGGCGCGTGTAGTGCGGCGGGTGGGGGAGCAGACAGGCCAGCAGCACGGCGCGGTGCGACGCGGCCACCGTGGTCTGAAGTGAGTTAGTGTCGTACCTGTTGAGCCGTCCTTGAGGTGGTGCGCCTTGGAGGCGAGGTTGTCCCAGTGGCCGGCCTGGCGCGTGTAGTGCGGCGGGTGGGGGAGCAGACAGGCCAGCAGCACGGCGCGGTGCGACGCGGCCACCGTGGTCTGAAGTGAGTTAGTGTCGTACCTGTTGAGTCCGTCCTTGAGGTGGTGCGCCTTGGAGGCGAGGTTGTCCCAGTGGCCGGCCTGGCGCGTGTAGTGCGGCGGGTGGGGAGCAGACAGGCCAGCAGCACGGCGCGGTGCGACGCGGCCACCGTGGTCTGAAGTGAGTTAGTGTCGTACCTGTTGAGTCCGTCCTTGAGGTGGTGCGCCTTGGAGGCGAGGTTGTCCCAGTGGCCGGCCTGGCGCGTGTAGTGCGCGGGTGGGGGAGCAGACAGGCCAGCAGCACGGCGCGGTGCGACGCGGCCACCGTGGTCTGAACGTGAGTTAGTGTCGTACCTGTTGAGTCCGTCCTTGAGGTGGTGCGCCTTGGAGGCGAGGTTGTCCCAGTGGCCGGCCTGGCGCGTGTAGTGCGGCGGGTGGGGGAGCAGACAGGCCAGCAGCACGGCGCGGTGCGACGCGGCCACCGTGGTCTGAAGTGAGTTAGTGTCGTACCTGTTGAGTCCGTCCTTGAGGTGGTGCGCCTTGGAGGCGAGGTTGTCCCAGTGGCCGGCCTGGCGCGTGTAGTGCGGCGGGTGGGGGAGCAGACAGGCCAGCAGCACGGCGCGGTGCGACGCGGCCACCGTGGTCTGAAGTGAGTTAGTGTCGTACCTGTTGAGTCCGTCCTTGAGGTGGTGCGCCTTGGAGGCGAGGTTGTCCCAGTGGCCGGCCTGGCGCGTGTAGTGCGGCGGGTGGGGGAGCAGACAGGCCAGCAGCACGGCGCGGTGCGACGCGGCCACCGTGGTCTGAAGTGAGTTAGTGTCGTACCTGTTGAGTCCGTCCTTGAGGTGGTGCGCCTTGGAGGCGAGGTTGTCCCAGTGGCCGGCCTGGCGCGTGTAGTGCGGCGGGTGGGGGAGCAGACAGGCCAGCAGCACGGCGCGGTGCGACGCGGCCACCGTGGTCTGAAGTGAGTTAGTGTCGTACCTGTTGAGTCCGTCCTTGAGGTGGTGCGCCTTGGAGGCGAGGTTGTCCCAGTGGCCGGCCTGGCGCGTGTAGTGCGGCGGGTGGGGGAGCAGACAGGCCAGCAGCACGGCGCGGTGCGACGCGGCCACCGTGGTCTGAAGTGAGTTAGTGTCGTACCTGTTGAGTCCGTCCTTGAGGTGGTGCGCCTTGGAGGCGAGGTTGTCCCAGTGGCCGGCCTGGCGCGTGTAGTGCGGCGGGTGGGGGAGCAGACAGGCCAGCAGCACGGCGCGGTGCGACGCGGCCACCGTGGTCTGAAGTGAGTTAGTGTCGTACCTGTTGAGTCCGTCCTTGAGGTGGTGCGCCTTGGAGGCGAGGTTGTCCCAGTGGCCGGCCTGGGCGTGTAGTGCGGCGGGTGGGGGAGCAGACAGGCCAGCAGCACGGCGCGGTGCGACGCGGCCACCGTGGTCTGAAGTGAGTTAGTGTCGTACCTGTTGAGTCCGTCCTTGAGGTGGTGCGCCTTGGAGGCGAGGTTGTCCAGTGGCCGGCCTGGCGCGTGTAGTGCGGCGGGTGGGGGAGCAGACAGGCCAGCAGCACGGCGCGGTGCGACGCGGCCACCGTGGTCTGAAGTGAGTTAGTGTCGTACCTGTTGAGTCCGTCCTTGAGGTGGTGCGCCTTGGAGGCGAGGTTGTCCCAGTGGCCGGCCTGGCGCGTGTAGTGCGGCGGGTGGGGGAGCAGACAGGCCAGCAGCACGGCGCGGTGCGACGCGGCCACCGTGGTCTGAAGTGAGTTAGTGTCGTACCTGTTGAGTCCGTCCTTGAGGTGGTGCGCCTTGGAGGCGAGGTTGTCCCAGTGGCCGGCCTGGCGCGTGTAGTGCGGCGGGTGGGGGAGCAGACAGGCCAGCAGCACGGCGCGGTGCGACGCGGCCACCGTGGTCTGAAGTGAGTTAGTGTCGTACCTGTTGAGTCCGTCCTTGAGGTGGTGCGCCTTGGAGGCGAGGTTGTCCCAGTGGCCGGCCTGGCGCGTGTAGTGCGGCGGGTGGGGGAGCAGACAGGCCAGCAGCACGGCGCGGTGCGACGCGGCCACCGTGGTCTGAAGTGAGTTAGTGTCGTACCTGTTGAGTCCGTCCTTGAGGTGGTGCGCCTTGGAGGCGAGGTTGTCCCAGTGGCCGGCCTGGCGCGTGTAGTGCGGCGGGTGGGGGAGCAGACAGGCCAGCAGCACGGCGCGGTGCGACGCGGCCACCGTGGTCTGAAGTGAGTTAGTGTCGTACCTGTTGAGTCCGTCCTTGAGGTGGTGCGCCTTGGAGGCGAGGTTGTCCCAGTGGCCGGCCTGGCGCGTGTAGTGCGGCGGGTGGGGGAGCAGACAGGCCAGCAGCACGGCGCGGTGCGACGCGGCCACCGTGGTCTGAAGTGAGTTAGTGTCGTACCTGTTGAGTCCGTCCTTGAGGTGGTGCGCCTTGGAGGCGAGGTTGTCCCAGTGGCCGGCCTGGCGCGTGTAGTGCGCGGGTGGGGGAGCAGACAGGCCAGCAGCACGGCGCGGTGCGACGCGGCCACCGTGGTCTGAAGTGAGTTAGTGTCGTACCTGTTGAGTCCGTCCTTGAGGTGGTGCGCCTTGGAGGCGAGGTTGTCCCAGTGGCCGGCCTGGCGCGTGTAGTGCGGCGGGTGGGGGAGCAGACAGGCCAGCAGCACGGCGCGGTGCGACGCGGCCACCGTGGTCTGAAGTGAGTTAGTGTCGTACCTGTTGAGTCCGTCCTTGAGGTGGTGCGCCTTGGAGGCGAGGTTGTCCCAGTGGCCGGCCTGGCGCGTGTAGTGCGGCGGGTGGGGGAGCAGACAGGCCAGCAGCACGGCGCGGTGCGACGCGGCCACCGTGGTCTGAAGTGAGTTAGTGTCGTACCTGTTGAGTCCGTCCTTGAGGTGGTGCGCCTTGGAGGCGAGGTTGTCCCAGTGGCCGGCCTGGCGCGTGTAGTGCGGCGGGTGGGGGAGCAGACAGGCCAGCAGCACGGCGCGGTGCGACGCGGCCACCGTGGTCTGAAGTGAGTTAGTGTCGTACCTGTTGAGTCCGTCCTTGAGGTGGTGCGCCTTGGAGGCGAGGTTGTCCCAGTGGCCGGCCTGGCGCGTGTAGTGCGGCGGGTGGGGGAGCAGACAGGCCAGCAGCACGGCGCGGTGCGACGCGGCCACCGTGGTCTGAAGTGAGTTAGTGTCGTACCTGTTGAGTCCGTCCTTGAGGTGGTGCGCCTTGGAGGCGAGGTTGTCCCAGTGGCCGGCCTGGCGCGTGTAGTGCGGCGGGTGGGGGAGCAGACAGGCCAGCAGCACGGCGCGGTGCGACGCGGCCACCGTGGTCTGAAGTGAGTTAGTGTCGTACCTGTTGAGTCCGTCCTTGAGGTGGTGCGCCTTGGAGGCGAGGTTGTCCCAGTGGCCGGCCTGGCGCGTGTAGTGCGGCGGGTGGGGGAGCAGACAGGCCAGCAGCACGGCGCGGTGCGACGCGGCCACCGTGGTCTGAAGTGAGTTAGTGTCGTACCTGTTGAGTCCGTCCTTGAGGTGGTGCGCCTTGGAGGCGAGGTTGTCCCAGTGGCCGGCCTGGCGCGTGTAGTGCGGCGGGTGGGGGAGCAGACAGGCCAGCAGCACGGCGCGGTGCGACGCGGCCACCGTGGTCTGAAGTGAGTTAGTGTCGTACCTGTTGAGTCCGTCCTTGAGGTGGTGCGCCTTGGAGGCGAGGTTGTCCCAGTGGCCGGCCTGGCGCGTGTAGTGCGGCGGGTGGGGGAGCAGACAGGCCAGCAGCACGGCGCGGTGCGACGCGGCCACCGTGGTCTGAAGTGAGTTAGTGTCGTACCTGTTGAGTCCGTCCTTGAGGTGGTGCGCCTTGGAGGCGAGGTTGTCCCAGTGGCCGGCCTGGCGCGTGTAGTGCGGCGGGTGGGGGAGCAGACAGGCCAGCAGCACGGCGCGGTGCGACGCGGCCACCGTGGTCTGAAGTGAGTTAGTGTCGTACCTGTTGAGTCCGTCCTTGAGGTGGTGCGCCTTGGAGGCGAGGTTGTCCCAGTGGCCGGCCTGGCGCGTGTAGTGCGGCGGTGGGGGAGCAGACAGGCCAGCAGCACGGCGCGGTGCGACGCGGCCACCGTGGTCTGAAGTGAGTTAGTGTCGTACCTGTTGAGTCCGTCCTTGAGGTGGTGCGCCTTGGAGGCGAGGTTGTCCCAGTGGCCGGCCTGGCGCGTGTAGTGCGGCGGGTGGGGGAGCAGACAGGCCAGCAGCACGGCGCGGTGCGACGCGGCCACCGTGGTCTGAAGTGAGTTAGTGTCGTACCTGTTGAGTCCGTCCTTGAGGTGGTGCGCCTTGGAGGCGAGGTTGTCCCAGTGGCCGGCCTGGCGCGTGTAGTGCGGCGGGTGGGGGAGCAGACAGGCCAGCAGCACGGCGCGGTGCGACGCGGCCACCGTGGTCTGAAGTGAGTTAGTGTCGTACCTGTTGAGTCCGTCCTTGAGGTGGTGCGCTTGGAGGCGGGTTGTCCCAGTGGCCGGCCTGGCGCGTGTAGTGCGGCGGGTGGGGGAGCAGACAGGCCAGCAGCACGGCGCGGTGCGACGCGGCCACCGTGGTCTGAAGTGAGTTAGTGTCGTACCTGTTGAGTCCGTCCTTGAGGTGGTGCGCCTTGGAGGCGAGGTTGTCCCAGTGGCCGGCTGGCGCGTGTAGTGCGGCGGGTGGGGGAGCAGACAGGCCAGCAGCACGGCGCGGTGCGACGCGGCCACCGTGGTCTGAAGTGAGTTAGTGTCGTACCTGTTGAGTCCGTCTTGAGGTGGTGCGCCTTGGAGGCGAGGTTGTCCCAGTGGCCGGCCTGGCGCGTGTAGTGCGGGGGTGGGGAGCAGACAGGCCAGCAGCACGGCGCGGTGCGACGCGGCCACCGTGGTCTGAAGTGAGTTAGTGTCGTACCTGTTGAGTCCGTCCTTGAGGTGGTGCGCCTTGGAGGCGAGGTTGCCCAGTGGCCGGCCTGGCGCGTGTAGTGCGGCGGGTGGGGGAGCAGACAGGCCAGCAGCACGGCGCGGTGCGACGCGGCCACCGTGGTCTGAAGTGAGTTAGTGTCGTACCTGTTGAGTCCGTCCTTGAGGTGGTGCGCCTTGGAGGCGAGGTTGTCCCAGTGGCCGGCCTGGCGCGTGTATGCGGCGGGTGGGGGAGCAGACAGGCCAGCAGCCGGCGCGGTGCGACGCGGCCACCGTGGTCTGAAGTGAGTTAGTGTCGTACCTGTTGAGTCCGTCCTTGAGGTGGTGCGCCTTGGAGGCGAGGTTGTCCCAGTGGCCGGCCTGGCGCGTGTAGTGCGGCGGTGGGGGAGCAGACAGGCCAGCAGCACGGCGCGGTGCGACGCGGCCACCGTGGTCTGAAGTGAGTTAGTGTCGTACCTGTTGAGTCCGTCCTTGAGGTGGTGCGCCTTGGAGGCGAGGTTGTCCCAGTGGCCGGCCTGGCGCGTGTAGTGCGGGGTGGGGGAGCAGACAGGCCAGCAGCACGGCGCGGTGCGACGCGGCCACCGTGGTCTGAAGTGAGTTAGTGTCGTACTGTTGAGTCCGTCCTTGAGGTGGTGCGCCTTGGAGGCGAGGTTGTCCCAGTGGCCGGCCTGGCGCGTGTAGTGCGGCGGGTGGGGGAGCAGACAGGCCAGCAGCACGGCGCGGTGCGACGCGGCCACCGTGGTCTGAAGTGAGTTAGTGTCGTACCTGTTGAGTCCGTCCTTGAGGTGGTGCGCCTTGGAGGCGAGGTTGTCCCAGTGGCCGGCCTGGCGCGTGTAGTGCGGCGGGTGGGGGAGCAGACAGGCCAGCAGCACGGCGCGGTGCGACGCGGCCACCGTGGTCTGAAGTGAGTTAGTGTCGTACCTGTTGAGTCCGTCCTTGAGGTGGTGCGCCTTGGAGGCGAGGTTGTCCCAGTGGCCGGCCTGGCGCGTGTAGTGCGGCGGGTGGGGGAGCAGACAGGCCAGCAGCACGGCGCGGTGCGACGCGGCCACCGTGGTCTGAAGTGAGTTAGTGTCGTACCTGTTGAGTCCGTCCTTGAGGTGGTGCGCCTTGGAGGCGAGGTTGTCCCAGTGGCCGGCCTGGCGCGTGTAGTGCGGCGGGTGGGGGAGCAGACAGGCCAGCAGCACGGCGCGGTGCGACGCGGCCACCGTGGTCTGAAGTGAGTTAGTGTCGTACCTGTTGAGTCCGTCCTTGAGGTGGTGCGCCTTGGAGGCGAGGTTGTCCCAGTGGCCGGCCTGGCGCGTGTAGTGCGGCGGGTGGGGGAGCAGACAGGCCAGCAGCACGGCGCGGTGCGACGCGGCCACCGTGGTCTGAAGTGAGTTAGTGTCGTACCTGTTGAGTCCGTCCTTGAGGTGGTGCGCCTTGGAGGCGAGGTTGTCCCAGTGGCCGGCCTGGCGCGTGTAGTGCGGCGGGTGGGGGAGCAGACAGGCCAGCAGCACGGCGCGGTGCGACGCGGCCAGCGCGCGCACCCAGCCACACACGTGCTCCAGCTTCAGCTTCTCCACCGCGCTCGCTGTCGACCCTGCGCGAATTATTTTATGACATAAGCCCGTAAACGACCAGACGGATCACCTGATGGTAAGCAATCGGCGCCGCCCATGGACACCTGGAACACCAGAGGCGTTACAAGTGCGTCATCGGCTTTTTGAAGATTAGGAGTTTGAGGATCGTTGGGGATTCAGGGATTAGGGAGATTAAGGAAGGGGAGGATAATTGGGCCTCCGGTAACCTCACTCACACGACGAAACACAACGCAAGCATTGCTTCACGCCGGTTTTCTGTGACGCCGTGGTATCACTACGGTCGAGCCGACCCATTCGTGTCGAAGCATGGCTTTCCCACACTTGATTTCAATTCACAATGCACATACTTTGTCTTACATGCATAAGCATGTATAAATCCACAACGTATTGTAACGCATTGCTCCTTTAATTCACTTTTCCTACAATCTCATCGTTGGAAATCTAATATATGTAATTGAATCAATAGGTGATCCCCATTGCCATGCTATAGACCACCTTTTAAACCGAAATCCTAAGAATATTTTGACCAAGTTAGGAATTTAACCCAAAACACATTACTAGCAGTCGAACTTCCGACTCTACTTGCAGTAATTCCACCAAAAACCAAACACGATTAAAAATATTAAACTAACCAGTATAAGAGAAGGAAGTAACATGGAACCAGTGGAACAGTACAGACAGCAGACGTCCCAGGATCTCGTCAGGAGTGTCAGGGTTTGGAGTACACAAACCCACCATCAGCCATACTCCATATCTACAAAAATGTACAAATGTATCAGAACAATTTAAATCTTCTTTGAATTGAAGCAAAGCATTTGATTTTGTAGTTCATAGTAGATTGAGAAAATTGCACAAAACTATGCTACAGGTCAATAAATAAGATTTTGAAAAACATCAAAACCAACTACCAATAGAAAACTGTTGAAGGCAAATCCTTCGCTAACGTCAGTGATCGGTGACACCCACAGCGATACATGTAGGAGGGGGGCGTTCCACAAGGGAGTGTTTTTGGTCCTATATTGTTTAAAGGGCCGATCGCAGCTTGACTTGTGCTAGGAAATAAATAATGAAATGAAAAATACTTTACCTGCCGAGCAGCTGTCTATCTTCAACAGAGATGGGATCAGGCAAGTCTACGCTGAGCGGAGGCTTCAGCTGCTCCGTGGAACTATCAGGGTCTTCCATGTTGATCGGCTTGGCTTCTTTCAGGAGGCTGAAAATATACATACACCAGGATTTTTTAGACTAGATATAGTTTTCTAATTAAAATATATATATTTATTTAAGTAATTTGTGTAGCTTAAATTAGAGAAATGTTAAATAGCTTTGAAATCCACTCAGTTTATACCAGAAACATATATTAACTGCTGGAAATTGGGCATGTCTAGACCTAGGAAATAGTTCTCAAGGCCAAATATAACGCTAGGCTACATTCCAACAGACTGAGTAATGACGGTAGTGGAGCCCCGACCTGATGATGGCCTCGACGAGGTTGGTCTGCATGTCGCTGTCCATCTGCCAGGCCAGCGGCAGGCGCGTGTGCACCACGTGGTCCCCGCCGCGCCGGCTGTTGTGGCGGTTGCCGTGGCACTGCTGGCAGTACCTGATGGCGACCGGACAACTCGGTTATTCTGATGTAACTAATAACTGATCTAAATATTGAAACCAAAATTACGAAATTACAATCATCGAGATGGAGTTCAAAAGTCCGTGATAGTCCACACCTAGTTGCAAACACTGCAGAGCAGCAGTGTTTAGGAACGCTCCGGAAACATTGACAAAAAGAAATAGTTTTTAAAATTTTAATCGTTTTTATTTTCGTGTTATTTATGCAACATCAGCCTTGATCAGTTGCTTACAACTATCTATTATATAAAAATAAGTCAGGTTTTCCTTCCTGACGCTATATCTCCGGAACGCACCAGCCGATTTCCACGGTTTTGCATTCGTTGGCAAGGTCTCGGGCTCCATGAGGTTTATAGCATGTTACATAAAACGAAGCCATGTGGTAGCGAAACGGAGTTCGCCGGGTTTGCTAGTTGTTACATAAAAGAAACATTGAATTACTTAGTTTTATGAAAATATATCTTGTTTTTACCGTTACTTGTGCATTTTTCGGGAGCGTTCTGTTTACACCTTGTATAATGCGATCTTTCAGTCCACTTTTATGGCAACCGCAGAAACAGTAAGAATGTATCGCTGCAATCTTACCTGATGGGATGGTTTCCGTTGTAACTGGCGCACTCGTTGGAGAAACAGATGGAATACGCCGCCTTGTCCGTCGAGCGGCAGTTCTGAAATCAGAACACAAAATTTATAAAATGATGGTCAAAATAGATTTTAATGAATTCGATTTTTGAAAGATTACAGAAAAAAAAATATTAGTTACCTTGTTCTCACAAACCATTGACACTTGTTGTTGAGGGTGTAGGATGTCGAAGAAGCGCTGGTTGGGATGTTCTCTGAAATCAGATGAAAATTTGAATCTTATAACTATCTAAGACATACTAAAGATGCAGCAGCAGATGAGTAGGCTGCGCGACATCGCCGCGACCGCGCACGCTACTCATGAGGAATATTCCCTCTGGGGCTCGAAACTAGTAGAGCTTATCTCAGTATTTTCACGTGAGTAACCCGCGATTTTTAGTTAATAGAAGTTAACTCGATTAAAATGAAGTCGAGTAAGTTTAAATTGATTGATTGACTGTCAATGTTTTGTTGCTTTTCTGGTTATTTCATAGGTAGAGGCTAGATTCATGGTACATGTTGTAAGATCCGCTGCCAAAGCTAGAGGGGTCTCGGGTTCGGTCCCCAGGACGACTAAAGTATTATTGGTTTGGCTTTGCAAAAATTTTCTATAGTTATCCAACCATGTATGTGTGAACCGAAGGACCGAACTCAGTATTCGCGAAATCAAGGTCTAGTTTTAGAATTATTCTGGGAATTTTTAGATATATAAAAAAATGAACTAAGGGACCTCATTTTATGGGTCGGTCGTGAAGTTAAGACCTCAAAAAATATCTTGATAAAGAAGTTTTGGTGAATATATTGAACTGTCACCGATTGTAGATGAAAAAAAACCATGATGTAAATTAATTCTTCTGGTATTGTGGAGGTCCATGGGCAGCGCCAATTGCTTATCATCATGCAATCGGTCTGCTGGATGCCCCTTAAAAATATTGTATTGATGATAGCGACGATTATGATGAAGATAATGAACATACTACATAATTACATACCGATGTATCTCATTAGCGCACTCGATGCAAAGATACAGTGGCGGCGGACTGTCGGACGCGAAGGTGACACTGATGCAGTGGTCGTAGCAGACCTTGGCGGCCTCCGCAGTGCCCGCGTTGGGACACATGTCGCGCTGGCACAGGAACGGGACCAGGTCGTCTGGGGGCGGGGGTGGACACTCATTATTTATTTATTTATTTCTTCTTCACAAAATACAACAGTGAATGGCGGACTTAATGCCTTAAGGCATTCTCTTACAGTCAACCATAGGGAAGTGCAGAGAAATGAAGTGGTTGATGCGAAGTCAATACTCATTTGTATACAATTGCTTGAACCTGCTTGGGAAGTTTGGAGTCTGTGCAGATTGTAATAAAATCTTGTTATGTCGATGAGGTCATAATAATAGTCTAGTAGTGGATTGTCAATAACTGGCGGTGGTTGCATCTTTGATCAAATAGTCGCAAGGAGTCTGGGCTCGATACCTGGGTTAAACAAAAAAGGCATGCCAGATTCGTATCCGTTGGCGTTATATTGTCTCTACGTATCCTAATAGGAGACAAAATGTGAGGATATTTGTTGACGTCACTAATTGTATATGTATATGACAATAGACTCACCCCCTATTACACGGGACCCATAACAGAATTGGCGAAAAATAGGCCTTGTTTGTATTCCAATATGTCTTTTTACCCATGCCATCCATTAGAAATAGATATAATGTAAATTGTAGAAGTAAGATGATATTAACTGGAAAACTTGCAGAGCAGCCCCTTCCGATCGAACAGCTTGGCATCGAACGGCGGCCAGTAGTAGAACAGCAGCTTGGCAGCCGACAGTCGCGCGCCCCACGTGCCGTACGCGATCACGCACAGGATGTCCTTCACCACCCACTGCTTCATCGACATCAGGCATTCTAGGAGTTGGCAGTGGTGCGCTGGAATGTAGTCACAAATACTCTTCATTTCTTGATCTTCTACAAACGTCTCCTATCTAGAGATTTCTACAGATCTAAGCAAGTATTTATTTATTTATTTAAGCAAGAAAATGTCTTTCTATTATGTTTCATATAAAGGCAGCCATGAGGTTAAAGTGGTGGATAACGTCACGAGAAGTTTACAACTACAATAAGTACCATATTTACTTATGTGTCACCAACTTCTCAATACTTCGTTGTTATAGGTTGCTGTTTTGGTAAGGTATAGTAAAAAATCTAAGGAGAAAACTATTCTTCTGAAACCCATTTACGATATATGAACTCAAGCTAACCAAGACATGGTTGCATATCATTGTATTGTAAGCGATTGTCATCTGTCATCCATAAAGTGCTTGTGACATTATTGATGATTACCTCGACCCCGTCAGGAATCAACAAAACAAAAACAACACAAAAGAAAGCAAAATATACATAAATAAATAAAGATAAAAAAGAATTAAAAAAAATACAAAATGTAATTCGCGATAAAACCAATAATTATAATTTAATAAAAAATTAAAATACAAATGACTTACCTATAATAAAAAGAAATAACAGAAAATTAAACTAAATAAAAGTTGAAGCAGAAATAAAATATTAAGTTCCTTACACATCAAACATTTTAGCACTACAAAAACCTATCAATCATTTCCGAAACACATACCTACTACCACCAATAAAATAATCAAAACTATTACAGTAATAGTAGGTCAGACAGGATTTGAAACTAATAAAAATAAACTAGACACTCGCGACACCAGTATACTGGAACTACAATGCAATAAACCATTTAAGTCCTGGCGGGGTGAACGAACTCATAAATCATTTTTCGAATCGCGTCTGTCACCGCTAGATGTCGCCACAAGCGAACAACTGCCGCAGTGCGGCAGTGTTCCACTAGTGGCGCCATCTCTAATCGTTACCGCGACCTGTCAAACTGTTTTAAGCGTCGTCTACGTGTAAGTAGCGACCTCTTGTGTTATTGTTCCATATTTGAACGCGTCTGTGCCGCCATTTTGTTTTGCTGGTTGTGGCATGGTTACACGGTTGATTCTCACGTGAAAGACTTGTTCATATTTATATTGCATGAAAATTTAATAATAAGATAAAGTTCCTTTTATATCACTTTTTATCTTTTTAACATAATTGATTTTTTTTACTTTTTACACAGACTCTCCTTTTTAGACTCTTCGAGGCACGCGCGGAACGCGATGTGCCGTATTCACGGGTACATACAATGTAATAGGTACTAACCTGGATTATTGGAGTGCTGGAACACCATCATGATAATGGCAGCCACAGATTGAGATGCCTGACTCTCTTCCTCCATACCCGCATACTTACGAGCTGGAGTAAACAATAACTTTGTTTAACGCTTGTAAAAATTATCTCGATCTTTCGAATTTGTTTACGACATATGTATAAATTCGCGTTAGTTTCTTGTATTAGTTGTTCGGAGGACCCAAACTCCACAGAATTCCTCCAGAAGTTATATAAAGTTATTACAAGCACCGATCCTTACAGTTTTTGCACTGAGGTCTCGAACCTCAACAGAAGTCCAATTCACTAATTGGTCACTACCAACAGATAATTAATAGGAAAAACAAATTTATGAAAAGACGATGTTTTGAAGAAGTACACTTCAACATCATAAAAATACATATGTATTACCTCTAGTACAAATACTTTTTTTAAGGGGGCAAAATCATCGAATGACTTCTCCCGCCTGGGCAAGGCGGGAGGGAATGTCAGACTCTTACTAACTAAAAATCACCCCGTTCCTATTCCTGCACTTCGAGCCGGAGCCCCGGTAACCCGTTAGGTTAGTAGTACAAATACTTACTGATAGTAAACGGCAGGATGTAATAAGACAGCAGATGCAAGATCTCCTGATGCAGGGCCACAGGAAACATGGCGACACAGTAGGCCACCAGGAATGGAAGGTTGTCTATCATGTCGTACTCCAGGAAGGGCAGCAAGCAACCCAAACATTGTAGGATGGCTTGCCCGAATGCTAGATATGGAAACTTATGGTATAGAAACATAAACTTAAATAAATATTAATAAGTATTGAAAAACAAATGACAAGCGGTATTCGAACCCGCGCATGATAATAACTTCCACGAATTATTATTTAAAAAAGATGTTTCATACTTATTGAAATAATAATTTATTTATTTCATCAGAGAATCGATCTTTTATACAACAGCCTTTGCTTTATACGCAGTCAGTTTGTAAGTCACAATAAATTCAAGAACTAAAGACTGATACTAACGCAGCGTCCCATACTGCAGATGTGGCGTCGAGTCGACGAGCCCCGAGAGGGCGTTGAACAAGCTCTTGTAATCCAGGTTGGGGTACAGGCCCATCCTCTCACCATCATTGTCCGCATCTCGCAGCATCTCCAATGGAGAGCGGGGTACATCTTTGAGGACGCCTACAGAAAAAAGTAGTGATTTCTCACAAATCCTAAAAAAAATTCTAAAAATTCCAGAATATCAATTACCTAGTAAAATAGATGTTGGTTTTATTATAAAAAGGAAAACTCAAAAGGAATTTTGGATAAGTAGTTTTTATTTTCATGACCCCAGTAAAAATGTGACACCCCTTTTCATTACTCGAAGTCTCTTGTGCTGTGAAGACTGTGAAGTCTCTTGTGAAAACTGAAAAATCCGGACTCGAACCAGTACATTACAATAAGGGAGTTTAATGCTAGACTGGATTAACTTTCAGTTTGTGAAACTTGTACAAGAAGTTGAAATTAGAAGTGAATACTTACTGAGTAATGTCTGCGAGAAGTACTTGACGGTGTTGGCGATGTCAGTGCCGAGGGGCAACGGCTGTATGTTGTGTTGCAGCCGTAGCTGGGCGTCGTACAGGCTGCGGATTTTTGCTGTAACTGTACACCACAACGAGCTGTAGAGTAATCCCCAAGATGCAAACAATTACTACTACCTAATGAAGAAATTCAAGTGTGTAAAAGGGAAAATTATTTTAGAATGTTTCATCTTCCATTACTGTTTAAACGCTCTATCGTTAAGAACACAACTGATGAGTAAGTTGATTACACAGCCAATCATAGTGTCACCCCTTCGCAAAAATGTAATCGCTAAGTACCCTAAGGCTCTCTTCACATTCGCAATGCACTTTCATAGTTTAATCATTTTAATCAATCAGCTTACTGGATACTGGGTTCTGGTTTCAATCAAGCCCCTAGGGGGTTTAATTTTGAAAGGCTTTTATTAAACAACCCTCGCAATATTCAACTGCAATGGTCAAAGGACCCTTTGTCCATCGGATTAATTTTTAGTCCACTGCATTCAATTAGCATATTATATATACATAAGGGCAGATTTTGATTTTTAGATTCCCCCTAAAAAGGGCAGAGTATATAACTAGATTCAAAGGAAGTTTTTAATAACGGTCGTCCGACAACCCTTTATGTAATTGTATTACATGGCTGCGTCCCGCACCGTAATATAAGTGGTTTTGAAATTAAAGTAGCCAGCATGTAGTATCTATTGAAATTAAACAGTTGAGGGTATACTTAAAACTTTTCTTTTATCTGTATTTCTCTCGCAAGTTACGTCAATCAAAACGCAAAGTTATTGTTCCCTAGCGAGATACCGTTATCAAAAAAGCAAATAATTGCAACGGGTTCCAGATTAAAACAAATAATAATATGAATGACAACAAGCGAGATACACAGCCGCGCAAGTAAGATAAATCAGGATCAGTAAATAATATCTACATATTAAAAACGCATGTGAACTTACAGCCTCAATAATTTCTTTATAGCGCTGAGCAGAGAACTAATATTTCTACGTACAATTAAGAATCATCTAAAAGGAATTATTTTAAAAGTTCCGATGCCCCATCAAAACCAATGTTATACCAATCACAACTGATTACGATTCAATTTATGACGCACTGGACACTAACATGTAAAATACAACATACACTCGTGACAGCGCGCACTCTCTGTGACTCTCGACAAGCGACTGAGCTCGCCTTTGTTGCGATCATCGCCTCACCGTGTTCATTATGTAACAATGCATCCTACGAATTGAACGTATACCCTCATTTAAAGAAATAACAATCATCTGTAGCTATAATAAAACAACTACAGATTGTTCGTAAAATTATAATAGAATCGTCTTCAAAATGATAGTTTTAAGTAGACGATAATAGCGTTTCGTATTTGTGAGACGCAATTAAGAATAACTATAAGAGGTAATAATATAAGCAATGTCAAAAGAACGAAAGTTCATGGACTTGTCCTTGGCTATTGAGAACGTACGGCCCTATTCTGCGTATTAATTTGGCGACTGTTAAGTCACCCTCTTTATTCATAAAGTTTTAGTCGATCTGAGGTAACGACAAGGTTTCATAAGATTGGTTTTTTCATTCAAAGAAAAGAAAGTCTTTTTGATCTTTGAAGTTTAATTTAATGGAAATAATTTTGTGTTTCAAAAAGAATCGGGCTTCATGATCGCGTCCCCGCGAGCGACAGCCCTGCCTTTGTACTGTGGACGACATCTTGTCGCGCCGCGTCCCTATGTACTTACACGTGTTTCACCCACGCGTCTTGTTACTCCTACACAAGACCTATCAATTACGTTCCCAAAATAAATCAAATTATTTGACCATTATAAGAAGGCAGTTGCTAAGTTATTGTAAGAATAGGACCATGGGCAGATACCTATTTTCTCAAATTAAAAGGCGGTTTTGCCACAGATAACCAAATAGTTGAAAAGGGTGTCGCGCTTTTTCAGTCATCGTTATACTGACTGGTTAATGAACTAAGCTAACTAAGCGTTATTGGGAATTTCGATAGATAAAATTCTTAGTATACTGGTCAATAGTCCAAGAGACATCGTTCGTCTCTGACAAACAACTATAGGCTCCATCTCAACTCAGGACTAATAATTATTAGTCCTGAGTTAGTTTATGTTATAACATAAACTTAGTAACGAAAAGTGAAAATGCCCGATTTAACTATAACAGATTTATCATTCGATAAAACCCTGCTATTTCCTGATGTATGTTTATTATGTACGCGTCAAGCATCTATCAAGTATCTATCAGCAGCCGTTATTTTCAAACTCCATACCAACTTAAACAAGTTAGTCTTACGTCGTCTCAAGTAGGAATACAAAAAGCAAGTCTAGAAAGATGTCACTACCTGAAAACTTTATGAAGTTATTTAAACTCAATCGCTAACTCTATAGAAAACTATGTAGTTGTATATGCAAGTATTAATGTGGCACATTTAATAAGGTTCGCGGGACGCAAGCGCGAGGCGGCTCGACACATAGGCGGGGCCACGGCGCCGTGGCACCGATTTTTCGACCGCGGGACGCATGTGCAGAAACGCAATCGATCGAGTGACCCTCCACACCTGAGGGGCGCGGTCGGGGTGCAGCGGGAACTCGCGCATGCGTCCCGCGGTGGTGCCAACCACGCGGTGGTGCACTATTAATAGATTTTCGTGGAAAATCCTATGGAAAACCCTTACGTTAACGATGTAATTTCGAGGACTGTATTTTTAAAGAGCTTACTGGACACGAAATTTATCTGAAATATATTGTTTGAGGGACACAAAAATTACTTCAGAGATTTAATAAGCAAAATGACATTTAAACAGTAATGGGACAACAGTTTGAAGATAAATAAAAGGATCCAGCAGATAGATATGTCCTATTAGAGAGCCAATAGTCTACAGAAGGTTTTACCAAAACCAATTAAACAAAGAAATTTGAAAGTACAGGTACAAATAAAAAAGCAGAGTAGATACTTTACGATAGTTTATTCGCTAAACAAAGATACATCATGCAAGTTCACAATTTCTACATAGAAGAACATAGACTACAGTACATTGACTACATTTCCAAATTCTAATTACTTAATACTAAGACAAACACAGAACTAAATAAAACTAACAATTTCGACACCAAATCTACATACATCGACACAAATAGAAATAGGCACTATAAGTAACATTCGGTAAGCAAGAGCTGAAATAAAGGTTTTAATTTGCTTCTCATAGCCAGAAGATATAATTTCCTTTTGAGTAGAGCAATATAAAATAGAACTTGCTTAGGCAATATTACTCATTGTGCCACAGACATACATACATACATAGTTTAAGCACATACATATTGTAGAGGGCTGCCAAGTCATGAAGACAATAATCATTATTTTGAGCAGATTTGCGTTTTGGACATAAAACTTACAATATTTTATTGTTTCGTGTTATAATTTCACAATCACGATAGATATTACAAAATATTATATTATTTTGTTAAAAATACACATTACAATTTTATACCTTCAATGTCTTGTTTGTTACGAGGAACATAATATATTTTTGTATAATATAAGAATATCAGGTACATATACATAGACACACATACATATAAGACAGGAATAGAGCAGCTATAAATAAGAAGGAGAAATGATAGACCAAGTTGCCCAGGATAACCCCACACCAGGATAAGCAGCGGGATGGTACGGACAGACATACTGGTTAGCCAACATTTTAGAAAGGTGAGCCACACAAACAGGGAGCCTGATTCTGATAAACTAAGCATATGGTCAAACTGCATACAAATAATACCCACAATTACATACAGAAGCAATTGAATGTTAGTACCTATTGAAGTCTCAGCCAAAACTGCAAATGTTGGACGCCCCGTATTGCTAACACTCGGTGACACAGTTCACACGACTCGCTTACTTGAGCGCTCGCACGGTAATGAGCCAAACGACGCTTTTCAAAATGGCCGAAGGGCGACGCCTCACCTGCGAATCTGCGCGCATGCGTAGGGCTGAGCGATGACTAGATTTTTTTATAAAATGGCGGACGACGCCACAGGGTTGTTCCCACTACTTTGGACAATTTGCGGCACGCCAGGAAAATCTGCTATCCGCACACGCGTGCATCACAGCTTTGAAACGGCACGAAGGACCGACCGCCACGTGGCTACTTCGATTTTAATTATTTTCTGTCCTACTTATATCAAACGGTTAACTGATTAACACAACGACGAGGAAAGTTTTAAGACTAGAGAGGTCAACGGCACGTCCTCGTTAAATGCTCGGGCTCGGTTCTGACATGATACGAATATTTCGCGCAAAGTGTAAAAAACTAGAAGATGTTACACCGGGTAAAATCTTCCAAGATAGGTTTTTCGCAAACTAACACGACTTGTAACCGCACAAGCTCCCGGGATACTGAGCATTACAAGAGCTTACTTAGAGGTCGACACTGTCGGCAGCTCACCTGCGCGCATGCGTGTTATGCAGCTTTGTAAAGAACGCCGCGGATGTGTATCGATTTAGGCTAAAAACGGTTACGCCACGTGGTACCTATCTTAACTTTTGTTCATTTTAAACTTCTAATTATGTAACGCAGGAAAAAGCATTAATTGAATTGGAAAATAAGCACCGGTAGTAAGAATAACTTCTTTGCCTTATCACAGCGCGACTAGAAACATTACAGTTTCCGAAATGAATGCTTTGTTAAAAGGCCACATCTTACCCAAGGAAGGGTATTGATTTTTCTAAAAATATAAACCGTTACGCCACGTGGCTATTGTATTGACAATATAGGATCTCCTTTTCCTATTCAAAGTTTCCGTCATTTCTAATAATTCTATCGCACGGTAACACACAATTTATAATTGCTAGAAGCTGCCGGAAAACTGAGCTTTACAAGAAATTGCGACGTGGTCAACAGCCTCAAAAGGCCACCTGTAGTACGCATGCGTGCTTTGCAGCTTTGTGAAGGACGCGTCCGATACGTATCGATTTATTCGGAAAACGGTTACGTGGCAGAGTGAATAGACTCGGTAAATAATTTAACATTTTGGAATATTACTTTACATCATGAGACAA